TGCTCCTTTCTGCAAGCATTTTGCTCCATTCTGCAAGCATTTTGCTCCTTTCTGCATCATTTTGCTCCATTCTGCAAGCATTTTGCTCCTTTCTGCATCATTTTGCTCCTTTCTGCAAGCATTTTGCTCCTTTCTGCAAGCATTTTGCTCCATTCTGCAAGCATTTTGCTCCTTTCTGCAAGCATTTTGCTTCTTTCTGCAAGCATTTTGCTCCTTTCTGCAAGCATTTTGCTCCTTTCTGCATCATTTTGCTCCTTTCTGCAAGCATTTTGCTCCATTCTGCAAGCATTTTGCTCCTTTCTGCATCATTTGGGTCCATTCTACAAGCATTTTGCTCCTTTCTGCATCATTTTGCTCCTTTCTGCAAGCATTTTGCTCCTTTCTGCAAGCATTTTGCTCCTTTCTGCAAGCATTTTGCTCCTTTCTGCAAGCATTCTACTCCTTTCTGCATCATTTTGCTCCTTTCTGCAGGCCTTTTGCTCCCTTCTGCAAGCGTTTTACTCCTTTCTGCATCATTTTGCTCCCTTCTGCAAGCGTTTTACTCCTTTCTGCATCATTTTGCTCCTTTCTGCATCATTTTGCTCCCTTCTGCAAGCATTTTGCTCCTTTCTGCATCATTTTGCTCCTTTCTGCAAGCATTTTGCTCCATTCTGCAAGCATTTTGCTCCTTTCTGCATCATTTTGCTCCATTCTACAAGCATTTTGCTCCTTTCTGCATCATTTTGCTCCTTTCTGCAAGCATTTTACTCCTTTCTGCAAGCATTTTACTCCTTTCTGCAGGCCTTTTACTCCTTTCTGCAAGCATTTTACTCCTTTCTGCATCATTTTGCTCCCTTCTGCAAGCATTTTGCTCCTTTCTGGTGTCTTTACCCCCAGGCGAGTGCTCTGTGGATCCTCAGCTCAGCTCCTGCTTGCTGTAAGCTGGGTATTTACCCATTCTCAGTCACTCTTGCTCTTGGTGTGTATTGGATATTGACTTCTGCACCTTTCAGCCTCACAGTAAGCGTGGGATGTGTCCTGAGGAGCGGCGGTAACGTCATCAAAGATGCTGCCTAACAGATGTAAGGCACAGAGGGCTCCAGAGTTAACCAGAAAGCACCCACTTGGCACTTGGGATGTGCCCACTGGGTCACACTGCATCATTTCACCCAAGGCTTCCTTCTTTGCAAGGAGTAAATCGGAGCAGAACGTAGTGCATCCTCTACTCAGCCCTTAGAGCTGAGCGGAAGCTGTTAACTCAATGTCCTTCTAGGGCCACGGCAACAATTCCACATGGAAATCTCCATCTCCCTTTGGAAAGCCACGTCCCTTGGCGCACTAACACCGGGCTTTGACCTGGTTATCAGCCCCAGTGATTAAAGGCCAGGTTTCCTATCGGGATCCACATAACTCCCTCAACACAGGGTCTGTCTCCAGCCGGGACGAGCGGATACGCACCTGGATCGCAGCTCTGCTGGAGGACCTTGCCCAGCCCTCAGCAGTGCCCTTCGTGTTCCTCACCTCAGCACCGAGCTTCCCTTCCTCCTAAGGCAACTCCCAGGCCTGCTCAGGGAGGATCCGAAAGGTCTTTTCCAACCTGCTCCATTGGAATAGAGGGAATGTCTGTGGGGATGCAGAAGCACCGCTGGGACAGAAGAGGGTGAAGGGATTGGAGCTTCCTGGGTCTCATCTGCTCGGGGATGTTCCTGTTTCACACGAGGAAGAGCTCCTGGTACCTGGGAATAAGGGGTTAACGCGGTGCCTGCTTGCTTAAGCAGCCGTTGTGCTTGGTGAAGCAGAATTGTAGTAGGTAAGAGTCATAACTTAACATTGAAGACGTTCTTGGTTAAACGGGATCCATAGAAAGAAAAGGAACAGAAGACAGCCAGAGTAACAACATCTGCAAGCTTGACAACTTTCTGCTTTAAGATACATAGAATCATAGAACAGGGTTGGAAAGGACCTTAAGCTCATCCAGTTCCAACCCCCTGCCATGGGCAGGGACACCTCACACTAAACCATCTCACCCAAGGCTCTGTCCAACCTGGCCTTGAGCACTGCCAGGGGCGGAGCAGTCACAACCTCCCTGGGCAACCCATTCCAGTGCCTCAGCACCCTCATAGGAAAGAATTTCTTCCTTAGATCCAATCTAAACTTCCCCTGTTTAAGTTTGAACCCGTTACCCCTTGTCCTGTCACTGCAGTCCCTAATGAAGAGTCCCTCCCCAGCATCCCTATAGGCCCCCTTCAGACACTGGAAGCTGCTCTGAGGTCTCCCCGCAGCCTTCTCTTCTCCAGGCTGAACAGCCCCAACTTTCTCAGCCTGTCTTCACACGGGAGCTGCTCCAGCCCCTGAGCATCCTCGTGGCCTCCTCTGGACTTGTTCCAACAGTTCCATGTCCTTTTTATGTTGAGGACCCCAGAACTGCACACAATGCTCCAGGTGAGGTCTCACGAGAGCAGAGCAGAGGGGCAGGATCACCTCCTTGGACCTGCTGGTCACGCTGCTTTGGATGCAGCCCAGGACACGGTTGGTTTCTGGGCTGTGAGCGCACACTGAAGCCGGCTCATGTTCATTTTCTCATCAACCAACACCCCCAAGTCCTTCTCCTTGGGCTGCTCTGAATCTCTTCTCTGCCCAACCTGTAGCTGTGCCTGGGATTGCTCCGACCCAGTTGTAGGACCTTGCACTTGTCATGGTTAAACTCCATGAGGTTGGCATCAGCCCAGCTCACAAGCGTGTCGAGGTCCCTCTGGATGGCATTCCTTCCCTCCAGGGTATCAACCGAACCACACAGCTTGGTGTCATCGGCAAACTTGCTGAGGGCGCACTCAATCCCACTGTCCAACCCCAACCCCTTCCACTGGAGCAGCTTGCTCCAAGCCCCTGTGTCCAACCTGCCCTTGAGCACTGCCAGGGATGGGGCAGCCACAGCTTCTCTGGGCACCCTGTGCCAGTGCCTCAGCACCCTCCCAGGGAAGAGCTTCTGCCTAAGAGCTCATCTCAGTCTCCCCTCTGACAGGTTCAAGCCATTCCCCTTGGCCTGTCCCTACATCCCTTGTCCCAAGCCCCTCTCCAGGTTTCCTGCAGGCCCTTCAGGCACTGGAGCTGCTCTCAGGTCTCCCCTTCAGGAAAGCCCCTCCAGCAGGCCCATACAGAGTATTCATCACCTAAAACATCATTAATTAATCACTACTGTCTTAATTACCATTAATAAACCCCTCCACAAGGCCACAACCCCCCCCATCCCTCCCCTCCGGGAGCGCTCCAAGATGGCGGCGCCGGGCTGTACCACCCGCCTCCTCCCCCCCGTCCCCCCCTCACAGTGGTACCGCCCACCCCGGCACCGGAACCCGGAAGCGCTGTGAGGACAGAGGGGGGGGGGGTGTCCGGTGAGGCTGCGGTGAGTGCCGGTAACGGGGCTCCCTCCACCCGGTCCAACGCTCGCAGCCGTTCCGGTGGGGCACTGCAGTCGGTTCCGACCGCGCCTTGCACCGGGAGCGGCGGAAGCGCCGTCCCCTAGGCCGAGGCCTTCCCGGTGCCGTAGGCGCACAGCCTGGGCCGGGCCGGGCGCGGCCTATGCGGAGCGGGCCCCGCTGTGTCCCGGTGGTGGCACCGGCTCGCTGCGGAAACCGGTGAGATCCGTGACGGGGGAGCCTCGCTCGGCTGCTGCCCATTGACCGCGCAGGGAGGGGGCTGAGCCCTGCTGGTGTGCTCCGGGGGGGGAACCCCCCCACTGCGGCCCTGATCCAGCGCTGCGGGAACAGCACCAGAGGGACGTGGAGCTGATGGAGGGAGCCAGAGGAGGGCATGGAGATAGGGCTGGAGCAGCTCTGCTCTGGAGCCAGGCTGAGAGAGCTGGGCTGGGGCAGCCTGGACAAGAGAAGGCTCCTGAAGGGGAGACCTGAGAGCAGCTCCAGTGCCTGAAGGGGCTGCAGGAAACCTGGAGAGGGGCTTGGGACAAGGGATGTAGGGACAGGCCAAGGGGAATGGCTTGAACCTGCCCGAGGGGAGACTGAGATGAGCTCTTAGGCAGAAGCTCTTCCCTGGGAGGGTGCTGAGGCGCTGGCACAGGGTGCCCAGAGAAGCTGTGGCTGCCCCATCCCTGGCAGTGCTCAAGGATACAGGGGCTTGGAGCAAGCTGCTCCAGTGGAAGGGGTTGTGGTTGGAGCTGGATGAGCTTTAAGCTCCCTTCCAACCCAAACCACTCAATGATTCTATGATCCATGCCCTCTACACCTGCACAGCAGCAGGGGCTGAACGTTCCCTTCACCCCTGTTTCTCCCTTTTCCCTCCTTGAGCCTCATTAATAACAAAAGCCACCCCATAAGTCGATTTCTGTTGGCAGAGGGATGAAGTCACCCCCTTGTGTCCGTAGCAGCAGCTTCCCTCTCTTCCACGTGGTAATTCCACAGACAAGTTTGGCTGGATCTTGGGTGAGGACGTTTGGTAACCCTGAGCCTTCCCTTGTCGTTCCATGGTAGGCGCAGAGGCTGGCTCAGCATTGGGCTGCTTCACCCACGGGAAGGCAGAACCTCAGGTGATGAGGACAGCACTGGGATTCCCATTGTAGCTCCCTTTCCCCTCTCACTGTTGTGTCTCTCCCTTGGTTTTCGTGTATTCCCACATTATCCCATCCCACCTCTTCTAAACTGTGCTTTGAACATTGCTATTTGCTTAATAGTGTTGGGCAGCCCCGATTACTTGATGGAGAGTGGAGGAATAAGTCATGGATAGTGCAGGAAACCGGTTTTATTCCCTGATTTTAGTAACGTTTCACCCATTTTTCAAGTCCCAAGTGTTGGATCCCGTTCCCCATGGATGAATAATGCCTTTTCCGAGGGGAGCAATGGCACCCTCTATCCGGAAAGGGCAACAGCAGGCAAATGAGATGGGAGCTGAGGCCCAGGATTGGTGCAGGAGGATGCGGCCGCTTGAAGCAGTTTAACAAAGCTGCTTCAATCCCTGATAGGATTAGTGCCTGTTTGCAGGTGGCTTTAGGAAACCTCGGTGTTATTGGGCTTCCTCCCTGTGGCAGGGGAGGGTGCAGCTCCTGCGGGCAGGATGGAGACCCTGAGGACCCGGACGGTGCAGGAGCTCCAGGAGCTGCAGGAGAACACGGAGGAGATCGAGCGCCTGGCGCTGGAGTCCCAGGAGGTGCGTGTGGATGGAGGGGGGGGGTGAGGCTGCACCCTGAATCCTGTGCTCAGCTCTGGGGCCCTCACTGCAAGAGAGACCTTGAGGTGCTGGAGCGGGGCCAGAGAAGGGAACGGAGCTGGAGCAGGGCCTGGAGCCCAAGTGTGATGGGGAAGGGCTGAGGGAGCTGGGCGGTTCAGTGTGGAGAAGAGAAGGCTCAGGGGGGACCTGATGGCTGCCTCCAAGTGCCTGAGAGGAGGATGGAGCCAGGAGGGGCTGGGCTCTGCTCCCAAGGAACAAGGGATGGGACAAGAGGAAACGGCCTCAAGCTGCCCCAGGGCAGGTTTAGATGGAGCAGAGGAACAATTCCTGCCCCAGAGGGTGCTCAGGCATTGGAACAGGCTGCCCAGGGCACCGTCCCTGCACGTGTTCACAAACCCCATAGAGAAGGCTTCATTGCCATGGGTTATGGTGGCCTTGGTAGTGCTGGGGCAACGTGATGCTCTTCAAGGTCTCTTCCAGCCTGGTTGGTTCCCTGCTTCCATGAGTTCCCCATCTCCTTGCCCAGGTCCAGGAGCTGCAGCTGGAAAGGGAAATGTCCCTGGCTGCCAACAGGAGCTTGGCTGAGCAGAACCTCAAGTTCCAGGCGCCGCTGGAGACGGGGCGCACGGAGCTGGGCAGCAAGTACGAGGAGCTGCAGAAGCTGGCTCAGAGGTGCCAGGAGCAAAAGGCAAAGCTGGGTGAGTGGTTGCCAACCTCTGCTGGCCGATAGAGGCACAAGGGCTGCACTTAGAGCAAGAGCCTTCCCGTCTGCTTCTCCCTCCCTTGGCCATGCTGAGCTGTTGGGGGTGGTGGCACATTGGGCTGCCTATAAGATCTCTTTTCTCCCATTTCCCAGTCAGATCCAGTTGAGCAGATCACCCAGCAAACCCCCCTCCTGGTGCAGCAGTGCCCAGAACCTTTTCCTCTCCTTTTCTCCTTGCACCACCACTTCCCAAGGCAGGAATTGGCTCCTGGCGGAGCGCAGCAGGGTTGGGTGCTGCTGGTTTCCTTTCCTTTTGTGTCTGATGTGCTCTGCTGCTCTCCTTGTTCCTTCTCCCCCCAGAGAAGTTCTCTGCAGCACTGCATCCCCAGACCTTGCTGGATCTCCTGCAGGTGGAAAGCCAGAAGATTGAAGAGGAGTCTGAGGTGAGCTTAAGGTTTAAATCCTTGAGCAAGGCAAGCGATGAAGTCCTCCCAGTTGTAGTTACAATCCCAAGCTTAAGGCCTTGAATCGAGGATTATCTCTTTGTGCTTTGGTGTTCGTGCTCCTAAAGGAACTGGATTGCCCTCTGTTTGGTGGTGTGGGGGGTGATGGTCTTAGCATGGAATGGCTTGGGTTGGAAGGGACCTTAAAGCTCATCCAGTCCCGACCCCCTGCCATGGGCTGGGACCCCTTCCACTGGAGCAGCTTGCTCCAAGCCCCATCTTGAGCACTGCCAGGGATGGGGCAGCCACAGCTTCTCTGGGCACCCTGTGCCAGCGCCTCAGCACCCTCCCAGGGAAGAACTTCCTTAAATCCAGCCTAAATCTGCCCTGTTTCACTTCAAACCCCTCACCCCTTGGCCTGTCCCTACAGTCCTTGGTGTCTCCTGTGTGTCCCCCTAAATCCTGAGCTGGGTCTGGGGCTGAAGCACTGATCCTGGCTTCTCTTCCAGCAAATGGCTGAGAAGTTCCTGGAGGGCGCCGTGCCCCTGGACACCTTCCTGGAGCAGTTTTCCAGCATGAGGAAGCTGTCCCACTTGCGCCGGGTGAGGGTGGACAAGCTCCAGGAGATCCTGAGGAAGTCGGGAACGCCGCAGGAGCCTCAGGAGCAACCAGCTCCTCATGGACCTGTGCCCACAGAAACCCCAAAGCCTTCAGCAGCTCCTTCCTTCCCCCTGCCCTACAGCCCAGCCCCAAGTGTGCCAGCTGGGCCCACAGCGCATGGAGCTCTGCCCCCTGCTCCCTTCTCTGGCTCCCCAGTCGCCATGGGGAACGCTGCTCCAGCCCAGCCCACCTTTCCCTATAAACCTCCTCCAGCCCCAGCTGCTGAAGCCGGCTATCCCAAACCCCCCTCAGGAGGCTCTGCTCCAGCCCCGGGTTATTCCTGGTCTCCATCCAGGGGCCCACCTCAGCCCCCCCCTTTTCCTGGCTCTCATCCCCCTCCTCTTCCACCCCCCCCCAGACCCGGATACCCTCCCTTCTTCCCGCCTGGAGCAGCGAGGCCCCAGTGTCCGTACCCAACCCAGCCTCCTCTCCCGAACTTCCCAATCCCCCCCCAACCTCCTTATCCTCCTGGAGCACCTCCACCCTTTGGATTCCCCCCACCTCCCAATCCCCAGCGCCCTGCTTGGCCTGGCTACTAAACGTGGGACTCCTGGCTCCTGGAATGTGGGACATCTGCTGCAGTCCCCTCCTCTGTTTTGGGGAGTGAGGAGGAAGAGTGATGCTCTTCAACCCATTGGGGCAGAAGCATTACACGGGCAGCAGCACCGGGGGTCAGGCATTTTGATGCTGTCCCCATGGGCCACATCTCCTGAGGTTTGTGCTCATCTGAGGGGCTGGAGTGGCCAATCCCAGGTGGATTCATCCAGGTTTTGATGTGAAATCCAGGTAGACCCTGAGGTACTCGATGGGAGGTGATGGCAGCTCCAAGAGCCAGACCCCCTCCGTGTGTGCAAGAGAGCATGAGTGTGCAAGAGTTGTGTGCTCTATGGGTCTCAGATGTCATATCCTAATCCTAAACCTTTCCACGAGTGCTCAAAGGACACTTTGGGAATCTTGGACAGTATTCCTGGCACAAAACCACCCGCTGCTTGCCCCACATCCACCGCTTTGGGGCCCCAAAGCAGTCCTGGGATGCGCCTGGAAGCGAGAGGCAGAGCCAGCCTGGCTTGCAGGGCATTCCCAACAGGTTGCAGCAGGGAGAAACAGCTCCCTGGATGAGCCAGGCCTTGGGATCTATCCAGGTGTTATCCTTGGATTGGGATAACTTCCGCTCCGCCTCTGCCTGTGTGGTGAGTCCTGGTGTGCTCCAAAGCAGAGGCAATTCCCAGTTTGGATGGGCCCCAGTGATCCCAGCTCACTGGGAAGCACAAACCTCTTCGCTCTGCCACTGTTCCCTGTCCCACCAAGGGTTTGGAGCCTCCAGTCCCTTCCCAGGGCTCACTGCATGGATCTTCTCCATGGTTTTGATGTAAACCAGGCTGGCACAGTGACCTGGGGCATCGCTGCTTTGCATCTGGGAGTCGGGAATTGGTGCTTCCCATATCCCAACCTCTCCCATGGGGAGAGCAGAGTTGTTACTGAGGTGCCCCAGGCTCCAGCCTTCCTTACATCCCCCTTCTCAGGTAACACTAACGGAAGGAGCACCGATGCGGGATGGGAATGGGAATGGGATTGCTTTGCTCAGCACTTTATCCTCCAGCTCCTGCCTGTCTCCCTGTAAGTTATTTATCAGGAATTGTTACTAATGGCCTAGGACGAGGTTTGATGGAAGCCATTCCATAGCTCTGGTTAATGGCAGTAATAAAACTCGATGAACTGTGTGTGGGGTGCTTGCTTCCGGCGCCAGCACCAGCCTCACGCTTGCATTGATCCTGATCCTGGTTCCCATGGGCATCCTCAGAGCAGCTTCCTCTCGCTTTCATCACTGAAACCTTTCAGGCTCGTTCAGGATCAGCTTCAAACTCCTCTTCCTTGCTCCCATCTTTCCTAAGGGACCTGTTTCAGCTTGAACCCATCGCCCCTCATCCCATCACTCCAGTCCCTGATGAAGAGTCCATCCCCAGCATCCCTGCATCCCCTTCAGGCTGCTCTCCACGCAGCCCCAATGTTCCCAACCTGGCTCCCTATGGGAGCTGCTCCAGCCCCTGAGCATCCTCGTGGCCTCCTCTGGACTCGCTCCAGCAGCTCCATGTCCTGATGCTGAGGACACCGGGGCTGGATGCAGCATCCAGGTGGGATCACGGAGCAGAGGAGCAGCCTCCCCTTGGACCTGTCCTCCATCACTAGGAGCTCTCTAGCCTGGGAATAGCACAGGTAGGGTTGGAAGGAAGGAAACAAGACGTAATTCCTAGAAGAATTCCCGATTTTGTTGCCGTGGTTGGTGCTTATTAAACACCTGACCTGTTGCCAGTAATTCCCCTGCTCCTCACACCCCTGTTTCACAGCTCCAACGGGATCAGGCAGATGGGGGGCTCGCGGCCTTTGTCCTGAAGCTGCCTGGCACAGGGCAGCTCAAGCTGCTTTTAGCCTGGCCTGGCTGAGAGGAGGAGTGTGGTGGATCCGGGATTGGAGGCACGGAGGAGATGGTGGTGCCGCTCAGCAGGGAGCAAAGCATGGCTGCCCCATTCATGCAGGGATGAATGTGCCTCTTGAACCCATGCAAAGAGCTTAAACCCCCTTCTCCTCGCACTCTCCAGTGGGAGAAGCTCAAGAGCAAGAGGAAGCCTCCTTAGATGGGGCTTGAGCCCCGGGGAGCAGCCCCAGCTGGGTTTAGGATGGCTTCGTGTGCTGGTAGGAGCAGGGGCGGGTTTGGCTCTGGGCTGAGCAGAGCTCATCCCATCCCTTTGGGGACGCAGGCTTCCTTCCGAGGGGAGCAGCGCAGGGCATTGACATCTCTTGGAGCCATGGAATGGGTTGGGATGAAGGGAGCTTAAAGCCCATTCGGTTCCAACCCCAAGCCCTTCCACTGGAGCAGCTTGCTCCAAGCCCCTGCATCCTTGAGCACTGCCAGGGATGGGGCAGCCACAGCTCCTCCGGCCGCCCTGTGCCAGCATCCTCCATCACCTCCCATCCGTTCATCCTTGCATGGGCACACAGAAGGGGTTTGGGTTGGGCAAGACCTTCCAGGATCATCTCCTTCCACCCCTACCACAGGCAGGGCCATCTTCTTGCTTGATCCGGTTGCTCCTGGTGCTTCATCCCCCCTTTTCCCCCCATGGAAAAGGGGGATTGATGAAGGAATCCAAGTTCATTTTCTCCTCCCACCCCCAAAGAATGCAGGGAAAGCCACTAAAAGAGCACTTGCAGAGTGTCATGAGCAGGGGGAGGGCTGGCCTGGGGCCCAGCACCCTTTGGGGTCACACTCTGCACGCAGAGTGCAGGTCGTAGTCACTGTCCGAGGCGTTCTCCGAAGGGTTGGGAGGTCGCAACGCTCCTTCCAGGGCTGTGGGGTGATGGATGGATGCAGGGGTTCTATCATGGGTGGGTCGTTCCCATTGGGAATGGAGCCCGGAGGAGCCGTTGCCAGCATCCTCCTGCCCTCACCTGGGTACTCCGGGGTGTGAGGGCTCTTCTTGGGGGGCTGAGCGTAGTCGTTGTCCCCCCCCTGCACCCGCTGCCCCTCTGCCCGTGGCCTCTGCGTGATGGTGCTGTTGCGGTGGAAGGAAACTGGAGGAGAAGATGGGAACAGTGGGGAATAGGGGGGGGGATTTGGGGCTGAAGCAGCCCCTGGGAGGTGATGCTGCTCGGAGGGGAAGGGGCTGAGTCAAAGCAGGACCCACGAGCGGGGCCGGGTTCGCATCGTGCTATGAGTCAATGTGGAGGCAGGAAACGGGAGCGCTCTGCCTGCTGCGGGCCCCAAACCAGCCCCAGATCAGCACCAAATCAGGCCGAAATCAGCACCAAACCGGCCCCAAATCAGCACCAAACCGGCCCCAAACCAGCCCCAAATCAGGCCGAAATCAGCTCCAAATCAGCACCACACTGGCCCCAAATCAGCCCCAAATCAGCACCAAACCGGCCCCAAATCAGGCCGAAATCAGCTCGAAATCAGTCCAAACCAGCCCCAAATCAGCACCAAACCGGCCCCAAACCGGCCCCAAATCAGCACCAAACCGGCCCCAAACCGGCCCCAAATCAGCACCAAACCGGCCCCAAACCAGCCACAAATCAGCACCAAACCAGCTCCAAATCAGCTCAAACCAGCCCTAAATCAGCCCAAGCCAGCCCCAAACCAGCCCCAACTCAGCCTCAGACCAGCCCCAATCAGCCCAAACCAGCCCCAAATCAGCCCCAAACCAGCCCAAACCAGCCCCAAACCAGCCCAAACCAGCCCAAACCAGCCCCAAACCAGCCCCAAACCAGCTCCAAATCAGCCCAAACCAGCCCCAAATCAGCCCCAAACCAGCCCAAATCAGCACCAAACCAGCCCCAAAACAGCCATCAACCAGCCCCAAATCAGCCCCAAACCAGCCCCAAACCAGCCCAAACCAGCCTCAAATCAGCCCAAACCAGCCCCAAATCAGCCCCAAGCCAGCACCAAACCAGCCCCAAACCAGCCCCAAACCAGCCCCAAACCATCCCAAACCAGCCTCAAATCAGCCCAAACCAGCCCCAAATCAGCCCCAAATCAGCCCCAAGCCAGCTCCAAACCAGCCCCAAATCAGCCTCAGACCATCCCAAACCATCCCCAAATCAGCCCCAGACCAGCCCCAAACCAGCCCCAAACCAGCACCAAACCAGCCCCAAATCAGCCCAAACCAGCCCTAAATCAGCCCCAGACCAGCTCCAAATCAGCTCCAAATCAGCCCAAATCAGCCCAAACCAGCCTCAAATCAGCCCCAAACCAGCCCCAAATCAGCCCCAAACCATCCCAAACCAGCCCCAAATCAGCCCCAAACCAGCCCCAAATCAGCCCCAAACCAGCCCCAAATCAGCCCCAAACCAGCCCAAACCAGCCCAAACCAGCCCCAAACCAGCCCCAAATCAGCACCAAACCAGCCCCAAATCAGCCCAAACCAGCCCAAACCAGCCCCAAATCAGCCCCAGACCAGCCCCAAATCAGCCCCAAACCAGCCCAAACCAGCCCCAAATCAGCCCAAACCAGCCCAAACCAGCCCCAAATCAGCCCCAAACCAGCCCAAATCAGCCCCAAACCAGCCCCAAATCAGCCCCAAACCAGCCCCAAATCAGCCCAAACCAGCCCAAACCAGCCCCAAATCAGCCCCAAACCAGCCCCAAATCAGCCCCAAACCAGCCCAAACCAGCCCCAAATCAGCCCCAAACCAGCCCCAAATCAGCCCCAGACCAGCACCAGACCAGCCCAAACCAGCCCCAAATCAGCACCAAACCAGCCCCAAAACAGCCCCAAATCAGCCCCAGACCAGCCCCAAACCAGCCCAAACCAGCCCCAAATCAGCCCCAGACCAGCACCAAACCAGCCCAAACCAGCCCCAAATCAGCCCAAACCAGCCCAAACCAGCCCCAAATCAGCCCCAGACCAGCCCCAAATCAGCCCCAAACCAGCCCAAACCAGCCCCAAATCAGCCCCAAACCAGCCCCAAATCAGCCCAAACCAGCCCAAACCAGCCCCAAATCAGCCCCAAACCAGCCCCAAATCAGCCCCAAACCAGCCCCAAATCAGCCCCAAACCAGCCCCAAATCAGCCCAAACCAGCCCAAACCAGCCCCAAATCAGCCCCAAACCAGCCCCAAATCAGCCCCAAACCAGCCCAAACCAGCCCCAAATCAGCCCCAAACCAGCCCTAAATCAGCACCAAACCAGCCCCAAAACAGCCCCAGACCAGCACCAGACCAGCCCAAACCAGCCCCAAATCAGCACCAAACCAGCCCCAAAACAGCCCCAAATCAGCCCCAGACCAGCCCCAAACCAGCCCAAACCAGCCCCAAATCAGCCCCAGACCAGCACCAAACCAGCCCAAACCAGCCCCAAATCAGCCCAAATCAGCCCCAAACCAGCCCAAACCAGCCCAAACCAGCCCCAAATCAGCCCCAAACCAGCCCCAAATCAGCCCCAGACCAGCACCAGACCAGCCCAAACCAGCCCCAAATCAGCACCAAACCAGCCCCAAAACAGCCCCAAATCAGCCCCAAACCAGCCCAAACCAGCCCCAAATCAGCCCCAGACCAGCACCAAACCAGCCCCAAACCAGCCCCAAATCAGCCCAAATCAGCCCCAAGCCAGCTCCAAACCAGCCCCAAATCAGCCTCAGACCATCCCAAACCATCCCCAAATCAGCCCCAGACCAGCCCCAAACCAGCCCCAAACCAGCACCAAACCAGCCCCAAATCAGCCCAAACCAGCCCTAAATCAGCCCCAGACCAGCTCCAAATCAGCTCCAAATCAGCCCAAATCAGCCCAAACCAGCCTCAAATCAGCCCCAAACCATCCCCAAATCAGCCCCAAACCATCCCAAACCAGCCCCAAATCAGCCCCAAACCAGCCCCAAATCAGCCCCAAACCAGCCCAAACCAGCCCCAAACCAGCCCAAACCAGCCCAAACCAGCCCCAAACCAGCCCCAAACCAGCCCAAATCAGCACCAAACCAGCCCCAAATCAGCACCAAAACAGCCCCAAATCAGCCCAAACCAGCCCAAACCAGCCCCAAATCAGCCCCAAACCAGCCCCAAATCAGCCCCAAACCAGCCCAAACCAGCCCCAAATCAGCCCCAAACCAGCCCCAAATCAGCCCCAGACCAGCACCAGACCAGCCCAAACCAGCCCCAAATCAGCACCAAACCAGCCCCAAAACAGCCCCAAATCAGCCCCAGACCAGCCCCAAACCAGCCCAAACCAGCCCCAAATCAGCCCCAGACCAGCACCAAACCAGCCCAAACCAGCCCCAAATCAGCCCAAATCAGCCCCAAACCAGCCCCAAACCAGCCCAAACCAGCCCCAAATCAGCCCCAACCCACCCCCAACCCCCTCACCCGTCTGGTTGAGTCCCGTGGGGCCGATCCATTGGCGCTGCTTCTTCCTGGACCCTGGAAGGCAGAGGACAGGCGATGTGATGGGCAGCTCCCCATGGACCTGATGCCGCTTCCTCCTCCGGCTGCTGTCCCCCCCGCTACCCCGCCGGCCCCATATGTCATCCCCAATCACCTCCTCCTCCTGGTAATCCCCTTCCCGAACCCCCCTGTCTGCTCTATTGTGTGTGCTCAGTGCTTAATCCCCTTTCTCTGTGCCCACCCCATAGTGGGGCAGGCTCAGGGACAATGGGCATCAGCGCGGAGCATCTCCCGAAGGCCCTCAGTGGAGGAGCAAGGCAGGGATGGATGCACGGCAAAGGGCATAGGAAGAGGGGATCCAGGGCTTGTGCCCTACTTCTCTTCATCAGCCTCCTGTAAGCGGGAGGCCCGCAGAGGACCAAGAGGATGCCGAAGAGCAGCAGGGCCAGGCAGATGCTCACGATGGTACCCGGGGCCGTGCCTCTGGGATGCGGCTTCGAGTCCTGGCCTGGGGAGAGAGGACCAGCGTTCACCGAATGAGACCCTTGCCGCTGATGCTGGGAGCTTGAGCCCCCGTTGGACCCATCCCCTTTGCCCCCCACTCCCCAGTGTAACCCCCATAGAGCTCAGCATCCCCCAGCGGCTTACACACGACTCGGATCCTGGAGCAGCTCGGGGTGTCCCTGAGGGGGCAGAGGTGCAGGTTGGGGACCCCACAAGTGACCCCCGTGGAAGGAGGGGGGTCCCGCGTTTCGGTGCTGGACGAGAGGTTCCCACAGCGCAGCTCCTGGCACAGCTCCCTGCCCCACTGTGCCCGCAGGGTCCTGCTGTCGCACAGCACCCGCCACTGGTCCCTATGGAAGACCTCGATGTCCCCTTCGCATGGTGTGGGGCCGGATGCCAGCCTCCGCAGGGCCTTGGGTTGGGAGTCTGAAAGGGGGGGGGGGGGGGGGGAAGAGGGATCAGATCCATGGGGAGGCGTTGGAACCGGCTGCCAGGGCTTGGAATCCCGCCCGCGTGTGAGCCTCCATCCCCTGGGATGGGCTCCTGGCATCACCGCTTCCCCTTTGTGCTGCAGGGAGAAGGAGCTGGGAGCTGTGCCCGTGGCTCTGCCGGCTGCTGCGGCTCATCCCTGAATCCCACGGGAGGGATTCCGAGCACGGGCAGATGGTGGGAACGCTTTGGGAAGGAATCCTGCTCTGGGAGGGGGCTGCGGCCCCAGAGAAGCCGTGGCTGCCCCATCCCTGGCAGTGCTCAAGGCCACAGGCGCTTGGAGCAAGCTGCCCCAGTGGGAAGGGCTTGGGGTTGGAGCTGGATGAGCTTGAAGCTCCCTTCATCCCGACCCATTCCATGAATCCACGATGGGGAGCCAGCCCCCTCCTCACGGCTCTCCTTCCCAGGGCGCCAGCCCCAAGCAGCTCCACAGGGATATCCCGGAACGCTTCGGGTCGGCAAGGACCTTGGGATCATTCCCTTCTAGGCGGCCACCCCCCCTACTTCGAGCTGCCCTGGGGGCACCCCTGTTTTACCCTCGCATGCAGGAGAGGAACGCGATGTGTGGGGTGAACGCGGTGGGAGCTGCCCCCAGCACCCCAGCACCCACCCCAGCACCCCCGTAGCCAAGCCCCGATGGTCCTCACCTGAGCACCGGATGAACGCGGGCTCCGCTCCCCTCCGGCCGCTGCTCCCGTTGAAGCACTCGAGGAGGCGGAGGCTCCCGCAGGGCTCCATCACCTCCCAGCGCACCGGTAGGGGGCTGCCCCACCGCGGCCGTGGGGGAACGGAGCCCTCCAAGGCGCTCCCGCAGCCCAGGGCCCCGCACACGCGGGCCGCCAACGCCACCGGGATGCTCCGGTCCGTGGCCACCGAGCCCCACATCCCTGCCTTGTGCAGCTCCAGGAAGCCCGAGCAACCGGTATCACCATCCACCAGGCGCAGCCGGGGGGGCCCTGGGAGGAATGGGGGGGGGGGGTCATTGTGTTATAGAGCAGGAAGTCCCCCAAAACATCACTTTTTGGCCCCAAACGCTGTTAATGGGGAGAAGCAATCAACAAAGGGGGTCCGGGTTGGGCATTGCTTCTTTCAACCCATTCCATCATAGCAAGGCTGGGGCCTTACCGGTGGGCTCCGGTGTGGTGGCTGGAGGAGGCGCCGGGGTGGTTTTTGCTGGCTCTGAAGCAAGAACAAGGTGGTTACGGAGGGGTAGGAGCAGGGGTGATGGGTTCGGATTGAAACAGGGCGGATCCAGACTGGATGTAAGGAAGGAAGCTGTGGCTGCCCCATCCCGAGGCCAGGATGGACACAGGGGCTCGGAGCACCCTGCTCCAGTGGAAGGGGTTGGGGTTGGAACTGGATCAGCTTTAAGCTCCCTTCATCCCAACCCATCCCATGATTGTATGGTGAAGAGAGGGGCCAGGCCCATGGGGATGTTGGTGAGCAGGGCTGGGATCCGTACTCACCGCTGCAGGTGAGGACCGCGTGCTCCGTGCAGTTTGCCGGCTCCCAAACGCATCCCATTGGAGCATCCACCAGCACCGGGCACCGCAGCGGACCCAAGGGTGGCTCCTTCCCGGTGCTGGGCGCAAGCCGGAGGGGCCCGGTGATGGGGGGACCACAGCCCAGGCTCCGGCACATGCCATCAGCACTGGCTCCAATCACAACGTCCTGGCACACGCGGCTCCATTTGCCGTCCCAATTGACTTCCAGCATCCCGGAGCAGCGGCACCCGCCGCCCGTGAGCCGCAGCCTGGGTTCTGTGGGGAAGCCAAGGGTGGAAGGGGATTTCCTTCCGTCCACAGCGTGTTTTCCGTGGGCATGTCCCCACCAGGGCTTCTTGCGGAAGGCCATGGCCAAAGGGATGCTAACGGAGCCATGGCCAAAGGGATGCTAACAGAGCCATGGCCAAAGGGATGCTGATGGAGCTATGGTCAAAGGAATGCTGATGGAGCTATGGTCAAAGGGATGCTGATGGAGCCATGGACAAAGGGATGCTGATGGAGCCATGGACAAAGGGATGCTAAGGGAGCCATGAACAAAGGGATGCTAACGGACCTGTGGTCGAAGGGATGCTGATGAAGCTGTGGTCAAAGGGATGCTAACGGAGTCATGGTCAAAGGGATGCTGATGGAGCCATGGACAAAGGGATGCTGAAGGAGCCATGGCCAAAGGGATGCTGATGGAGCCATGGTCAAAGGGATGCTGATGGAGCCATGGCCAAAGGGATGCTGATGGAGCCATGGTCAAAGGGATGCTGATGGAGCCATGGCCAAAGGGATGCTGATGGAGCCATGGCCAAAGGGATGCTGATGGAGCTGTGGTCAAAGGGATGCTAACGGAATCATGGTCGAAGGGATGCTGATGGAGCCATGGTCAAAGGAATGCTGATGGAGCTATGGTCAAAGGGATGCTGATGGAGCTGTGGTCAAAGGGATGCTGATGGAGCTATGGCCAAAGGGATGCTGATGGAGCCATGGACAAAGGGATGCTGATAAAGCTGTGGTCAAAGGGATGCTAACGGAGTCATGGTCAAAGGGATCCTGATGGACCCATGGTCAAAGGGATGCTGATGGAGCTATGGTTAAAGGGATGCTGATGGAGCCATGGACAAAGGGATGCTGATGGAGCCATGGTCAAAGGGATGCTAACGGAGCCATGGCCAAAGGGATGCTGATGGAGCTGTGGTCAAAGGGATGCTGATGGAGCTGTGGTCAAAGGGATGTTAACGGATCCATGGCCAAAGGGATGCTGATGGAGCCATGGTCATAGGGATGCTAATGGACCCACGGTCGAAGGGATGCTGATGGAGCTGTGGTCAAAGGGATGTTAACGGATCCATGGCAAAAGGGATGCTGATGGAGCCATGCCCAAAGGGATGCTAACGGATCCATGGACAAAGGGATGCTGATGGAGCCATGCCCAAAGGGATGCTAACGGAGCCATGGACAAAGGGATGCTGATGGAGCCATGCCCAAAGGGATGCTAACGGAGCCATGGACAAAGGGATGCTGATGGAGCCATGCCCAAAGGGATGCTAACGGAGCCATGGACAAAGGGATGCTGATGGAGCCATGCCCAAAGGGATGCTAACGGAGCCATGGACAAAGGGATGCTGATGGAGCCATGCCCAAAGGGATGCTAACAGAGCCATGGACAAAGGGATGCTGATGGAGCCATGCCCAAAGGGATGCTAACGGAGCCATGGACAAAGGGATGCTGATGGAGCCATGGACAAAGGGATGCTAACAGAGCCATGGTTGAAGGGATGCTGATGGAGCCATGCCCAAAGGGATGCTAACGGAGCCATAGCGTGGTCCCCATCCCTGCTCTTACCTCCAGTGCTCGGCACAGCTCCTCCATGGCTGGTGATGGCTGCAAGGAAGATGGGGATAGAGCATCAGTCCAGCTCCTTGCCCCAGGGCACGTGGGATCTACCCACCTGGGGCAGCAGCTCCCAGCTTTCGGCCTCTCAGTGGTTGTTTTGGGGGAGAAAAGGCCGTTCTGGGGGCTCAGATCAGCCTTGTGCCCATGTAAGGTTGCTGCTGGTGGGTAGAAGCTGGTGATGGTGGCCAGGAGCTCCCTGTTCATACCCAGCTGGGGGGACCCTCCTGTCCCCATACCCTAGTGTATGGGAGTGAGTGGGGAGCTCGGATCATGCTGGGTTAGTCCTTGGCCATAGGAGAGCATCTCCTGGCTCAGCCGGGGATGGAATGAGCTGGGAATGAGGACGGAAGGATGGATGGATGCCCCCAGCACCCACTGGTGCACCCTGCCCCCCCCCCCTAGGACCCTTGCCTGTCCAGAGCCCCCCATGCTTTGGGTTTACCCCCAAATGATCACCAGCGACCCCCATAAGAGCCCACAAGCCTGAGCCCCCCAGATTATTCCCAACAGCAGGAAAACCGAGGGGGTCGGGGGGTCCCCATGTGCTTTAAATCACCCCAAGGGCTGGGTGCTCACTGGGCACCCCCCATCCCGCCGAGCCCCATCGCCCCGGCACTCACCCCACATTCCCAGGAGGAGCAGCAGGCTCCGGGATGCCATCGGCACGGCCGGCCCCGGGGTGCTGCAGTGGGGCCGGGGCGGGCAGGCAGAGGCTGTTTTCCTCCCTCTGTGGTTTTCTGCGTCACTTCTGGCCTTGTTTGAAGCCTCAACCTGGCAGCTGCCTCCCCACATCCTATAAAGGAGGGGGGGGGAGATGGGGGGCTCGGTGCTCGTCCCCTTCCTGGGCTCCCGCAATCTCTGCAGAGCACATGGGGCAGGGATGGAGGCAGGGATGGGGGCAGCGTGGGGCGTCCAAAGGGGATTGGGGGGATTGGGGGGGGGCAGAGATGGGAGGAGGAGCTCCCAGTAAGGTGTTTGGGGAGCAAACGCACTGGATTGTGTGGGGAAACCAGTGTAACCATGACCCCGAGCACCGGCTCCGATGGGAGACCTGAGGCCAAAGCAGGCTCTGTTGGTGCTTCCTCCTCCTCCTCCTCCTCCTCCTGCTGGCTGCAGCATCCCCATCACCACCGTCTGCAGTCACCAAGGGAGGTGAGAGGCAGCAGGACAGGAAACGTGCCCTGGTTGGGGGGTGCTGCAGATGGGGTGCTGCAGGGCACCCATGGCACAGCACGGCACCATGGGGCAGCTCCCCCGACCGGAGCCAGGCTGACACCACTGGGGCTGTGTGGGGAGCTCAGAGCAGCTTCCAGTGTCTGAAGGGGATGCAGGGATGCTGGGGATGGGCTCCATCAGGGATGGGAGTGATGGGACGAGGGGTGATGGGTTCCAGCTGAACCAGAGGGGATCCAGATTGGATGTAAGGAAGGAATTCTTCACTATGAGGGTGCTGAGAAGCTGTGGCTGCCCCATCCCAAGGCCAGGCTGGACACAGGGGGGGCTTGGAGCAAGCTGCTCCAGTGGAAGGGCTTGGGCTTGGAACCGGATGCGCTTTAAGCTCCCTCCATCCCAACCCATCCCATGGTTCTCTGATCCCATCCCGCACCCCTCCAAGCCACAGCAGACCCCAGCAGCACCCAAAGCACCCTAACCCCGTGCTGTGGATGGGGAAGGCTTTCCCCAGGGCACATCCCCTCTTCTCCCCATTGCTGTCTCCCCGCAAGGGCACATGTGGGGCACAGCAGGAAGGGTCAGGGCATTGATCCAGTGCTATTGAATCCCGGTGAAGCCAGGTCACGCGCGCTGCTCCCATCGACACAGCGACAGGATTGGGCCCTGGGGGGGGGGGGGGGCAATGAGCTTCCCAAGCGGCGCAGTGGGGTTATGAGAGCTCCCATCCCCTCCGTGGCCATCCGGATGCTCTGGTTCCCCTGGGAGTTTCCTGCCCTTTGGGCTGAAGGTTTTCCATGACACAAGAGGAAGCTCATTGGGTGCTGCAGTGCCTGCGGGTGCTGGGTGCAGGCAGCGATGCGTGCGGGGTGATGCCAGCGCCACGAGCATCCCATCTCCAGCAGCCCCGGGGATAACCCCACTGGATCCCGCCCCCTTGCAGCCTCCATGGCTTGGGCAACGCTTCGGGATAGGGATGCAAGGCTTGCTCCTGGGTTAACCCTTTCCATAGGGCTCCGTCCTACGGGCAGGAGCTGAGCCCCATCACCCCAAACCGACCTGGGGTCCGTGATCCACCCTGGGCGAGGCAGGATGAGGAAGCTCCACCTCCCGTGTGTTATCCAAGGCTCCCTGACCCCCCCCTCCAGCACCTCTGGAGCCGGCGGGATGCTGCCGCCAGGGTTAGAGCATCCCTCCCCGCTGCCGGCGGTGCGAGGCAGCTCAGCACCATCCGGGTGCTGGGACACCTAAGGGTGCTTGCAGCATGTCCCGGAGGTGCTGGTGGAAGGGGGAGCGATGGGATGCGCTCGCTCGCTCCCTTTGCAGAGGCAGGAGGTGCCCTTGGGGGGGGCAGGAAGGGGCTTGCGGGCTCCAGCACGCTGCTGCGGTGGGAAGAGCCCGATGCAGGAGCAGCGGCTTCCCCGTGGTCCCCATGTACCTGGAGGGGGCACGTTCCCCGTGGGAATCGGGGTGCCCCCTCCTTGCGCATCGGTACCCCCAAGGGCGCTGGTACCCTACATGGGAGCATCAGCATCCCCCAGGGCGGGATGGGGAGCACCGAGCGCGAAGGTGGCATCACCAGGGCACAGCAGTGAGGGAGTGGGGCACCCCCTGTCCCCGCTGGCTGCCGGCCCCCATCTCCTCGCTCCTATCCCTTTGTGTGGGGTTCTGGTGCTATTCTGGTGCTTCCGGCGCCGTTGTTGCGGTGCAGCCCCTTTGTCGGGAGCCTCTCGCCTCGGTGAGGAGCTGGAGGATGTGGTGGGGTGGCAGTTTCCATGGGGCAGGGCTGAGAGGGTGAGCTCTGCTGCAGCTCCACCTCGTCCTGGGGAGGAGGTGGTGGAGGGGAGAGATGGGAATGGTGGAGGTGGAGGGGATGGAGGTGATAGATGGGAATGGTGGAGATGGAGGGGGTGGAGGTGGAGGTGATGGAGGTGATAGATGGAAATGATGGAGATGGAGGTGTTGGAGGTGATGGAGGTGATGGAGGTGATAGATGGAAATGGTGGAGATGGAGGTGATGGGGGTGGAAATGATGGAGATGGAGATGGAGGTGATGGAGGTGATAGATGGAAATGGTGGAGATGGAGGTGATGAAGGTGGAGGTGATGGAGGTGATGGAGGTGATAGATGGGAATGGTGGAGGTGGAGGTGATGGGGGTGGAAATGATGGAGATGGAGGTGATAGATGGAAATGGTGGAGATGGAGGTGGTGGAGATGGAGGTGATGGAGATGGAGGTGATGGAGGTGGTAGACGGAGATGGTGGAGATGGAGGTGATGGAGGTGATAGATGGAAATGGTGGAGATGGAGGTGATGGAGATGGAGATGGAGGTGATGGAGGTGATAGATGGGAATGGTGGAGATGGAGGGGATGGAGGTGATAGATGGGAATGGTGGAGATGGAGGTGATGGAGATGGAGGTGATGGAGGTGGTAGATGGAGGTGGTGGAGATGGAGGTGATGGAGGTAGAAATGGTGGACATGGAAATAATAGAGATGGAAATGGTGGAGATGATGGAGATGGAGAGGGTAGATGGAAATGGTGGAGATGGAGGGGATGGAGATGACGGGAATGGAAATGATGGCGACGGTGGAAATGATGGAAACAATGGACGTGGAGGTGATGGCAATAGAGATTATGGAGACGGAGGTGATGGAGCGGTGGGGAGCATCCCTGTGGGCTGCATGGCCCATGGGGCCCCCACCACAGTGACTGTGGCTCGTGCAGCCCCCAGAGCACAGTGTCCCTGTCCCCAGGCCGTGCCTGGCTCCGGGTGGTGTTCCCTTGCTCTGCATCCCACCAGGGCTTGGCTGGACCAGGGGATGCTGCAGCTTTCACCCCAGCACGGGGGATGCTGGATGCGAGGACCCATGCCTTGGGACCCATATCCCACCTCCTGAGCCCTGGGTGAGGGGGGTAAACCCACCCTGGGCTGGATGTGGGCTCTGTCTCACCTCGGTGTCTCTCTCCCAGCCCCATACGGGGGTCAGAAGGGTCCAGGCCCCCCAGCACCACCTTACCTCCAGCACCATCCGGTGTGCTCGGGTTTGGACCCTGGTGCCAGCATCCTTTGAGTCCCCCAGCCACATTTATGGGCCCAGTGGGAAATGATGGAGATGGAGGTGATGGAGGTGATGGAAATGGATGGGGAGGACCATGGACCAGTAACCTCCATATCCATCACTGTGTCACCTTGGAGTGCTGGGAACACTGTGGGACACCACCACTTCACGTTCCCCTTGCGCTGGTGGCCACCCCAACGCTATGGGGCTGGATCATGCCATGGATCTGGTCTGGCTCCAGACCCACGGGTGATGCTCCTCACCATGGCTGCGACCACAGGAAGAGATGGAGAGACTTTGGGTCACTTACCCCCAACTGGGAACCATTGGGGGCCCAGCCTCCCTATGGGGCCGGTGACCTCCATGACCAAGGGACGCGGTGATCCAGTGGGAAAAGCTTTTAATGGGAGCACACAGCCCATCACAGCGCATCCTGACCCCAGCATGGGGGACAGGGATGGAGGAGACCCAGCAGTGCCAGGGCCCCCATTGGGCCCCTCAGTACAAGGAGCCCTGGATGTCATCATAGTCACTGCCCTCGGAGGGGTCCCCCTCCATCCATGGGGCTGGGTCCCCCCCGTACCATGGGGCTGGGTCCCCCCCCATCCATGGGGCCGGGCCCCCCGGTGTCTCCATGCCCTGGCTCTCGGACCACTCCCCCGAGGAGGTGCTGGAGCTGTCGTTGGGCTCGGGGGCTGCTGTGGACACGGGGACCCCCTCACATCCCCTATGGGGCAGTGCTGGGGGGGGCACATGGGGCGCTGTGGAGATGGGGTCAGATTGGTACCCGCCACCCCTGCTCCATCCCATGGGGTCTCTTCATCCCTGCGCCCATCCCCATCCCTCTCCCATCCTTCGGGTGCCCCCACACCAATTTCCCCTCCCCAGGGCTGTCCCCATCCCTACTCCCATCTCCGCTTCCATCCCCATCCCTGGGGACCCCCGACCCCAATTCCTCTCCCCAGAGCTGTCCCCATCCCTATTCCCATCCCCTGGGATCTCTCCATCTCTGCTCCCGCCCCCATCGCTGCTCCCATCCTTGGGGCCCCTTCACCCCAATTCCCCTCTCCATGGCTGTCCCCATCCCTGCTCCCATCCTATAGGGTCTCTCCATCCCTGCTTCCATCTTTGGGCTCTCTTCATCCCTGCTCCCGTCCCCTGGGGTCCCTCCATCCCTGCTCCCGTCCCCTGGGGTCCCTCCATCCCTGCTTCCATCCTATAGGGTCCCTCCATCCCTGCTTCCATCCCCATCCCTGCTCCCATCCTTGGAGTCCCCTACTCCATTCCAAGGCCTATCTCCATCCCTATTCCTATTCCTACTCCCATCTCCTGAGGCCTCTCCATCCCTGCTTCCATCTCCTTCCATCCTTATGGGCCCCTCACTCCAATTCCCCTCCCCGGGGCCGTTCCCATCTCTGCTCCCATCCCAATCCCTTGGGGTCCCCATGGCCACGCATCCCTCCGGCAGCACCCACCGGAGCCGGTGCAGCCATGGGCAGTGGGTGCCACGTGCTGGTGGGTGCCGCTGTCAGGGTGCCCCGTGCAGAGCGATGGGGACACGGTGGCGTTGCAATAGGGCGCCATGGAGGCGGATGAAGAGGTGGAGGTGCTGCCATGGGATGTGGATCCCGGCCTGGCCGGTGCTGTGGGACACAGGGATATCAGCCCCGCACTGCGGGTGGCACCCATCACGTCATATGGGGCGAGCACCCATCATGTTATATGTGGTGAGCACCCATCACGTCATATGGGGTGAGCACCCATCATGTTATATGGGGTGAGCACCCATCACGTCATATGGGGTGAGCACCCATCACGTTATATGTGGTGAGCACCCATCACGTTATATGGGGCGAGCACCCATCACGTTATACGGGGTGAGCACCCATCATGTTATATGGGGTGAGCACCCATCACATTATATGGGGTGAGCACCCATCATGTCATATGGGGTGAGCACCCATCACGTTATATGGGGTGAGCACCCATCACGTTATATGGGGTGAGTCCCATCACGTTCTATGGGGTGAGCACCCATCACGTCATATGGGGTGAGCACCCATCACGTTATATGGGGTGAGCACCCATCACGTTCTATGGGGTGAGCACCCATCACGTCATATGGGGTGAGCACCCATCACGTTATATGGGGTGAGTCCCATCACGTTCTATGGGGTGAGCACCCATCACGTCATATGGGGTGAGCACCCATCACGTTATATGTGGTGAGCACCCATCACGTCATATGGGGCGAGCACCCATCACGTCATATGGGGCGAGCACCCATCATGTTATATGGGGTGAGCACCCATCACGTTATATGTGGTGAGCACCCATCACGTTATATGTGGTGAGCACCCATCACGTTATATGGGGTGAGCACCCATCACGTTATATGGGGTGAGCACCCATCACGTTATATGGGGTGAGCACCCATCACGTCATATGTGGTGAGCACCCATCACGTCATATGGGGCGAGCACCCATCACGTTATATGTGGTGAGCACCCATCACGTCATATGGGGTGAGCACCCATCATGTTATATGGGGTGAGCACCCATCACGTCATATGGGGTGAGCACCCATCACGTTATATGTGGTGAGCACCCATCACGTCATATGGGGTGAGCACCCATCATGTTATATGGGGTGAGCACCCATCACGTCATATGGGGCGAGCACCCATCATGTTATATGGGGTGAGCACCCATCACGTTATATGTGGTGAGCACCCATCACGTTATATGTGGTGAGCACCCATCACGTTATAGGGGTGAGCACCCATCACGTTATATGTGGTGAGCACCCATCACGTTATATGGGGTGAGCACCCATCATGTTATATGGGGTGAGCACCCATCACGTTATATGGGGTGAGCACCCATCATGTTATATGGGGTGAGCACCCATCACGTTATATGTGGTGAGCACCCATCACGTTATATGGGGCGAGCACCCATCATGTTATATGGGGTGAGCACCCATCACGTTATATGTGGTGAGCACCCATCACGTTATATGTGGTGAGCACCCATCACGTTATATGTGGTGAGCACCCATCACGTTATATGGGGTGAGCACCCATCATGTTATATGGGGTGAGCACCCATCACGTTATATGGGGTGAGCACCCATCACGTTATATGGGGTGAGCACCCATCACGTTATATGGGGTGAGCACCCATCACGTTCTATGGGGTGAGCACCCATCATGTTCTATGGGGTGAGCACCCATCATGTTATATGGGGTGAGCACCCATCACATTATATGGGGTGAGCACCCATCATGTCATATGGGGTGAGCACCCATCACGTTATATGTGGTGAGCACCCATCACGTTATATGGGGTGAGTCCCATCACGTTCTATGGGGTGAGCACCCATCACGTCATATGGGGTGAGCACCCATCATGTTATATGTGGTGAGCACCCATCACGTCATATGGGGTGAGCACCCATCACGTCATATGGGGTGAGCACCCATCACGTTATATGGGGTGAGCACCCATCACGTTATAGGGGTGAGCACCCATCACGTTATATGGGGCGAGCACCCATCACGTTATACGGGGTGAGCACCCATCATGTCATATGGGGTGAGCACCCATCATGTCATATGGGGTGAGCACCCATCACCTCATATGGGATGAACCCCCACCACCTCATATGGGATGAGCCCCCATCACCTCATATAGGATGAACCCCCATCACCTCATATAGGATGAACCCCCATCACCTCATATAGGATGAACCCCCATCACCTGATATGGGATGAACCCCCATCACCTCATATAGGATCAACCCCCATCACCTCATATAGGATGAACCCCCATCACCTCATATAGGATGAACCCCCATCACCTCATATGGGATGAACCCCCATCACCTCATATAGGATCAACCCCCATCACCTCATATGGGATGAACCCCCATCACCTCATATGGGATGAACCCCATCACCTCATATAGGATGAACCCCCATCACCTCATATGGGATGAACCCCATCACCTCATATGGGATGAACCCCCATCACCTCATATAGGATGAACCCCCATCACCTCATATAGGATGAACCCCCATCACCTGATATGGGATGAACCCCCATCACCTCATATAGGATCAACCCCCATCACCTCATATAGGATGAACCCCCATCACCTCATATAGGATCAACCCCCATCACCTCATATGGGATGAACCCCCATCACCTCATATAGGATGAACCCCCATCACCTCATATAGGATGAACCCCATCACCTCATATGGGATGAACCCCATCACCTCATATAGGATGAACCCCCATCACCTCATATAGGATGAACCCCCATCACCTCATATGGGATGAACCCCATCACCTCATATAGGATGAACCCCCATCACCTCATATAGGATGAACTCCCATCACCTCATATGGGATGAACCCCCATCACCTCATATAGGATCAACCCCCATCACCTCATATAGGATGAACCCCATCACCTCATATAGGATCAACCCCCATCACCTCATATAGGATGAACCCCCATCACCTCATATAGGATGAACCCCCATCACCTCATACAGGATGAACCCCCATCACCTCATATAGGATGAACCCCCATCACCTCATATAGGATGAACCCCCATCACCTCATATGGGATGAACCCCCATCACCTCATATAGGATGAACCCCATCACCTCATATAGGATCAACCCCCATCACCTCATATAGGATCAACCCCCATCACCTCGTACCCTCCTCAGGGAACGGCTCCATCCCATCCCTGTTGGGCATCAGCAGGAGGAGCTGCTCCCGGGGCTGCCGCCGCAGGGAATCTGTGGGGAAGGGATGGAGGGGCCATCAATGGGGCCACCCCATGGATGGGGGGGGATGGAGGGGCCATCAATGGGGCCACCCCATGGATGGGGGGGGATGGAGGGGCCATCAATGGGGCCACCCCATGGATGGGGGGGGATGGAGGGGCCATCAATGGGGCCACCCCATGGATGGGGGGGGATGGAGGGGCCATCAATGGGGCCGCCCCATGGATGGGGGGGGATGGAGGGGCCATCAATGGGGCCGCCCCATGGATGGGGGGGGATGGAGGGGCCATCAATGGGGCCGCCCCATGGATGGGGGTCCCGTGGCGGGTGCGATGCTCACTGTGGAAGGTGGACAGGGCCACGGGGGGTTTGCTGCTGAAGTCGTAGTGCTCGTAGTCGGAATCAGAGTCGGAGTCCTCGGGCAGGGCTGTGAGCAGCGGGATGCAGGGCTGAGATGGGGCTGGGGCAGGCACTGCCCATAGGGCAAAGGGGGGCAGAGACGTACCCGGGCCTTTGGGAACGCTCGGGGGCATCTCCCTGTAGTCATTGGAGGTCCCGGAGGACACAGTGGGGTGCTGGGCGCTGTGGGTCACCAGGACTGGTCCAGAGAGCCCGAGGGAGGCCACGGTGTGGGCTGTGGGACAAGGGGGATGTGATGCTCAGCGGCTCCACGGGCCGTGGATGGGCTGGAAGTGTGGCCCCATCCATGGGCAGAGCCTGCCCTGCCCCTGGGGGGGGTCCTTACCGCTCCTCTTCCTCACCCTCAGCAGGGCGGCGGTGAAGGCCAGCACGGTGAGCAGGAGCAGCGCTGCCAGCACCAAGCAGGGGATGAGGAGGGGCGCGGGCAGGGGGGACCCCGATCCTGCATCCGAGGGACCTCCATCGGCTGGGATAGAGAACGGGCACAGCTCGGGATGCCCCTTCCCGCGGGGATGGGGGACACCCGGATCCCCCCCCCCTTTTTCCTCTGCAGGGCACCCACCTCTCAGGACCGTGGTGTTCGGGGTCCCCGTTGCCATCGGGGTCGGGGTCTGCAAACCCAAAGAGCCTGGAAGGAGGGGAGAAGGATGTGGGGGACACACACACACAAAGAAGCTCATCCCTGGGGGTCCCAGCGGCTCAGCTGCCCCGATACCCACCGAGGCACCAAGGGCAGACGGATGGGGAGCCGTACCGTTGCAGACCACGCCGGCCGCCCGGGACTGGTAGCAAGGGGATGATTTATTGAACACCCAGTGGCAATAGGCCAGCGAGGGCTGGAGGCTCTCGCACTTGTAGAACATCCTCGCCGGCAGCGTGTGCCCATAGGAGAGGGTCCGGAGCGGGGCCCCGCAGCCCAGCGAGCGGCACAGCACCCTGCTCTCCAGCTCGTACCAGGCGCTGTCGCACACCGTGCTCCACGTACCCTGGAAGAGCACCTCCAGCCGGCCAGCGCAGCCGTCCCGGCCCCCCGACAGCCGCCACCGGTGATGCTCTGCAGGGATACGGGGAGCTGGGACGCGCCGATGCGTCCCTGCGGCTTCGGGGGCAGCAATCGCGGAGCGGGGAAGGGGTTGGGATGGATGGGAGATGCTCCGGGGGAAGAAGGTTTCGCTGCTTGACCCGGGGGAGCTTTAAGGGCCCTTCCAACGCACCCGTTACCGCGGTGTCCCCGGCGCAGCCCGTCCCACCTGAGCACACCACGGCGGCATCCTCCTTATGGCTGCAGTCGTGCTCCCGCTCCGCCGGGCATTGCCAGAGGTGCTCCTCGTGGCCCTCGCAGCCCATCTCATCCCGGAGGATGGAGCCGTTGCCGCGGCCGTAGGCGGCACCGCCGTGGGCGCTCACGGCACGGCCGCACCGCAGCTGCCGGCACACGACGTCGGCGTCGGCCAGGTCCCAGCCGTCGTCGCACACCGTGCCCCACGCTCCTTCCTCTTCCAGCTCAACCCGGCCCTCGCACCGGCTCCGGCCCCCCACCAGCCGCAACGCACCGGCACCTGCGGAGGCACGGGATGAGGGCGGCCACGGTGGTCCCCATAGGGAGCAGCAGGGCCGGCATCCCAATGGGACGCTGGTCCTGCCCTGCTCACCTGGCGCCACCGAGGCGGTGCCCGCTGGGGTGCTGGGAGGTGCTGTTGGATCCGTGGGGGCTGCGAGGAGGAAGGCAAAGAGGATGGGGGTCAGAAGGGGGGTAGGAATGAGCGCCCGTGAAGTGATGCTCTGATGGGGAAGGATGCTCAAAATGGCTTCCCCAGCCTCACAAAATGGACGGCCCCTTCTTGCACCCCTCAACCTCGATCCCAATGGGCCTTACATCAGCCTTGGGATGGGAACGGCCCCCCCAGGGCCCAATCCTGGTGCGGGATCCGCTCACAGGATGGGGGAGGCAGGATCTGGCCCTAAAGGCGGTGGTTTGGGGGCAGGACTCACGGGTGGAGAAGCCGAAGCGTTGGGTACCACGATCCCGGGATGCTGCCGCTGCCCAGCTCGCTGCTCCTGCTGATGGAGAGGGGTTCTTGCTGCCTGTATCTGCCTGTATCTGCCTGTATCCGCCTGTATCCGCCTGTATCCGCCTGTATCCCCCTGTATCCACCTGTATCCGCCTGTATCCGCCTGTATCCGCCTGTATCCACCTGTATCCGCCTGTATCCGCCTGTATCCGCCTGTATCCACCTGTATCCCCCTGTATCCGCCTGTATCCGCCTGTATCCGCCTGTATCCCCCTGTATCCACCTGTATCCACCTGTATCCGCCTGTATCCCCCTGTATCCCCAACCCAGCCCCTCTGAGCCATCACTGCAGGTGCGTGGATGCTGCTGCCACCACGGTGCCACTTTAGGCTCGATCCCATCCTCCTTGTCCCCGCTTTCCCATCCCTTCCCCTCAGCGCACGCCTGCAGCCAAGCCGCTTTTCCATGGTTATCCCTGGAAAACCCCAGCCGTTGCTCCTTTGGGATGAAGGATGCACCCCCATGGTTGAAGCTGAGGTGCTTTCAGCCTCACCACCGCCAAAACCATGGCTTGCTCGGTGCCCCAACGAGTTTTGACCAAAAAAGGGCACTTTTTGCCACTGCTGTGTCCTCCCGGCGTGCTGATGGAGCCCAGTCCTTGGCCATGGGTCACTGCTGGAGCCCGTTCCCACCTGTGCTCATCCATCACTGCGAGAGGCACCCATAGGTGTTTAGGGGGATGCGTTGGGTGGGTGTCTCCATGGGAACCCCCCCCTTTTAGGCTTTGGCTTAATGTTAAAGGAGAAGGATAGGGATGAACGTAGGAGCTTGGGATGAGCTGCTCCATGGGCTCCTGGTGCTGCTGGCGCCGTGCTCCAGCCCAGAGCATCGTGTTGAAGGCATGGGAAGGAGCCGTTAGCGGAAGCGGGGGCGATGGTGACCGTTCCCCGTGGATCTGAGGCTGCTCCTGGCACCCTCGTGGATGTGAAACCACCCTAAAGCCCCACTGGGGACAGTGGGGAGCAAGCGGCATCACCCCCAAAGCCATCCCTGGGTGATGCTGCTGACCCCAGAAGGGCTTTTGGTGCTGCCGGCAGCAGGAGAGCATCGCCTTGTCCCTGCGGGGCTGCAGGGGGGATGGAGCCGAGGGCTTCCCAGCCCCATATTCCTTACTCCCACCCAGTGAGGGTGGGATGAGCACGGCAAGCGCCTCGGGAAGGAGAAAACCTGGCCTTTAGAGAGCACCCTCCCTGTCCACACCACAGCACCCGCTGCCCCAGCAGCACCCAGCCAAGGAGGTGACCAGCACGCCTTGCCCTGGCACGCAGCAAGGGATGGGAAGGGAAGGGATGAGGATGCTGATGTACCTTGTCCAGACGCCGCAGCAGAAAGAGCTGCCACGACGAGGCAGATCCTCTCCATCCTCCTCAGGCAATGTGGGGCAGCCCCATAGCGGTCGGGGGGGGGGGGGGGGGGGCTGTGGGGCGCGTGGTCCTGTCCCTTTCTAGCAGCTCAGGGCCATGGTGTGGATGTGCCCCAGCGCGGTACCCACTGCTCTCTGCTCCCTGCCTGTGGTTGGGGGTGCAGGAAGCCAGCTCAGCGCCGTGGGGCGGAGGAGCTCGATGGGGTGGCTCCATCCTGCACGTTCAGAGGGAGGAAATGGGGGGTCTGGGGGAGGCGAGGTCCATGCCACGCACCTGCAGCATCCCTCGGGGCGACGGGAGGCACCAGGACCATGCTCAGCCCCTGCAGGATGTGGATCTTTGCCATCACGGGGCTGGGACAGCATCACACGGTGGGGCTCAGGCTCCCCCAGGTGCCAGGACCTCTATGGGGTGATGGAGCAGAGCGCGGGGCTCCTTCCTCCTCCTCTGGGGCGGGATGTGGGCAGGAGGATGCTTGTGAGGTGGGATGCATCCAGATCCATCCCACGGCATGGAGGACCCGCAGGGGACAGCCCATGGTGACCATGAGGACGTGCCACCAGTTAGCACTGGAGGAAGGGGGTCGGCAGCAGGGAGCTGGGTGCTGTGACCAGACTGGGTCCCATCCTGAAGGGCTCTTCCCTAGCACGGGGTGCCCAGAGAAGCTGTGGCTGCCCCATCAGTGCTCAAGGCCAGGTTGGACACAGGGGCTCCAGTGGAAGGGGTCCCTGCAATGGCACTGGATGAGCCTGAAGCTCCCTTCCAACCCTAGGGAACCCCAGGGGAGGGTTGTTTGGGCTTTGTGCTGACCCCGATGGGTGCTGATGGGTGCACGTGGGGCTCAGACGCCCCGACAGCAGCAGAGCCCCCAGCTTTGGTGCTGAGGACCACAGTGAGGGTGAGCAGAGCCCCCAGGCATGGAGGAAGCAGAAGGAAAGCCCCCAGCAAGGAGAAGCCACGTTGGCTGATGGGGACCTGCAGTCCTGGGCCATGCATGGAGCAGGCATGAGGAACCGGGAGGTGGGGAGGGACCGGAGCACAGGGCTCTGATTTGGACACTTGGTGGGGTGAGGAGCCAGCACCAAGCCCTTTGGTTCTTAATAGGGCTGATGGGGGGCAGGCCCCTTGCAAGGCCGTGCTGGTGATGGAGGCCTTGGAGCAGGCAGCATCACATCCAACCTTGGGCAGCCCCTTCCCCTTTGCGGGGTACCTGTGCACCCCATGCCTGCCTCTTCCTCCCAGGGGCCTCCTGCTCACCCATCGGAGGCCGATGCCTGCCTGGGCTCCTATGGGTCTGTGGGCCCCAGCCTGTGCCTCCTATGGGTCTGGGCTCTGCTGCCCATCACCACGGTGCTGGCTGGGAGCCGCATCCCTGTGGTCCCCATGGGGAGCGGGGGGGATGGTTTGAGCCCCATGTGGGGCAGCGGGAAGGGGAAGGATGGGGATCCTAGCAGGAGCAGGGTGACTCCAAGGGTGATCTGGGGGTGTCTTGGGGCTGGGAATGGGCTGGAACCCATTGTCATTGGAGGGGGGGGGGGGTGCTTTGCTGGAGCTCGGGACAACCCCAGGAGCAGGCAGGGATAAGCTGGATGGGAGGAAGAGGAGGGGGAGGAAGGCAGGAGACCCCCATTCGCCAAGGTCACCCTCCTGGACCGCAGGCAGCACGAGGCTTTGGAGCCATGCCACGACCTGCATCCCTGCGGTCAGGATGCGGCTGGCGCCGCGGAGCCCGGGAGCTGCTCGTGTCCTCTCCAACACTTTATTGCCTGTCGCAAGGTCGGGGTGAACCCCCCTCCATAAATAACACCCCCCCCTTTCCCCCCCCCCAGCACATGGGACAGGTACAAAACATCACTCGTACAAACCCGGCGGCGTGGGACCCACCACAGGACCCAGCATCATCGGCATCACTATGAACACAAGGGCACAATGAGACCCTAAGCAGTAAGGACACCCCCCTTCACCGGCGTGATGGCCACAGACCCCAAGGACCTGGGTGAAGACCCCAGCACCAGCACCACGGAGCGGACCCCGAGCCCATGCGTGTGTGTCCCTATAGCGGCACAAGGAGGAGGTCGGTCCCTTACTGCCTTGCCCGGGGCTGGGGAGGAAGAGGAGGAGGGGTGGGGGGGAACACTGGGAGCTGCCCCCCGCCGTGGTCAGGAGCTGCCCCGGATCCTCTCCATGTAGCTGCGGAGCTCCTCGGGGTCCCGCAGCCCCATGTCCTCGCACACCCAGCGGATGTCGTCCTCGCTGGCCACCAGGATGGACTGGACGTTGGGGACGGGCTCGGGGGGTTCCTCGGGGGCCCGCGCCGGGGAGAAGGTGACAAATTCCACCCTCTTCCTCCGGCCACCCCTTGGGGCTCCACCTTCCCTATGGGGCTGGGGAGCACCCGTCGGGGTTGGGGGGCTGGGGGTACCCCCCGCTTCGGAGCCGCAGCAGCAGCGCCCATCGGTGGCCTCGTCGGGGACCGGGGGCTCGGGCTGCCGCCGGTCCAGCTGCCGGCTCAGCTCCTCCTGGTCGGTGCCCAACCAGACCCAGTTGTGGGGCTGCGGGGCCGAGGGGGCGGCGGCGTCGGGGAGCTCCTTCTGCTGGTAGCGCAGCACGAAGAAGATGCAGTTGATGAGGAAGATGAAGATGGCCAAGCAGAAGACCCCCAGCAGGACGTACATGCCGATCTCCAGGTCGGTTACGCGCTCGGGAGCCTTCACCATCTCCTCCTCCTCCTCCTCCCCAGCGCGGTCACGGCCGTACCCATCCTCCTCTTCCTCCGAGGAAGACCCCCCCCCTTGGAGCTTGGTGTCGGCCGGTCCCGCTCCCACTGCATCCCTCCTCCGGGGCTCGCCGGCCGCCGTCACCGCCTCTCCCGACATGGCCCCTTCCGCCCTTTGGAAGGGGGAGCTGGGCCCATGGTGGGGAGCGGGGGTGGCAGCGGGGTGGCCCCCCAGCACCTCGAGCCAGGCGGTGCCGGTGGCCAGCGCGGCGGCTCGGTGCCGGCCCCGGCGGCAGGCGTCCGGAGGGTGCAGGCTGAGCTGCAGCAGCGCCCCGCGCCCCGGGCCCTCGGCCACCACCCATGGGTGCGCGGTGGGGACACCCGGGGAGCCCCCGACGGTGGCCACGGTGGGGTCGAGCGAGGTTACGGTCAAAGCCGTGTCCTGCCACCCATAGAGCTCCAGCGGGGCCAGAGTGTGGTCGGAGAAGGACAACCAGACCGAGAGCGTCGCCTCCTGCAAGGGTGGGATGGCACCGGGAGGAGTGGGAGGGGTTGGGATGAAGGGAGCTTAAAGCTCATCCAGCCCCAACCCCAACCCCTTCCATCGGAGCAGGGGGCTCCAAGCCCCATGGTCCTTGAGCGCTGCCAGGGATGGGGCAGCCACAGCTTCTCTGGGCACCCTGTGCCAGCGCCTCAGCACCCTCCCAGGGAAGAGCTTCTGCCTCAGAGCTCATCTCAGTCTCCCCTCGGGCAGGTTCAAGCCATTCCCCTTGGCCTGTCCCTACATCCCTTGCCCCAAGCCCCTCTCCACCTTTCCCCTTTAGGCACTGGAGCTGCTCTCAGGTCCCCCCCCCCGGAGCTGCACAGCCCCGGTTCACCCCCAGCCCAGCTCTCACCTGCTTGGGCACCCGCAGGGTCCCTGTGCCCATGGCACTGGCGGTCACCAGCCCGCGGTGCCCCGGCTCTGCCCGCACCGCCAGGGACAGCCCCGACACGAGCTGGGCCCGGAGCTCCGTCACCGTCACCTTCTCCTCCGACACCACCAGCGTCTGCTCCCCCAGGATGGAGTCCGACAGCGGGGAGCGGACCTGGGCCGTGGGAGGGGGGGAATGGGACACTGTGAGCCCCCAGATCACACCTCCAGCCTCTGACACCCATGGCCTGGTCCTCAGCCCCTCCAGTTCCCTCTGCCCAGCCCCTCCCTCCATCCCCTCCATCCCTCCCTCCATCCCCTCCATTCCTCCCTCCATCCCTCCCTCCATCCCCTCCATCCCTCCCTCCATCCCCTCCATCCCTCCCTCCATCCCCTCCATTCCTCCCTCCATCCCTCCCTCCATCCCTTCCTCCATCCCTCCCTCCATCCTCTGCATCCCTCCCTCCAACCTCTGCATCCCTCCCTCCATCCCTCCCTCCATCCCCTCCATCCCTCCCTCCGTCCCCTCCATCCCTCCCTCCATCCCCTCCATCCCTCCCTCCATCCCTTCCTCCATCCCTCCCTCCATCCCTTCCTCCATCCCTCCCTCCGTCCCCTCCATCCCTCCCTCCGTCCCCTCCATCCCTCCCTCCATCCCTTCCTCCATCCCTCCCTCCATCCCCTCCATCCATTCCTCCCTCCCCTCCAACCCCTCCTGGAACCCCTTTATCTCCCTCCAGGACCCTTTACGCGATGTCAGCTTCCCCAAGGACACCCCTGCACCCTCACAGCTTCCCCCAGCACTTCTCAGCACCCCCTATTTCCCCCCAGAACCCCCCTATCTCCCTCCAGGACCCCCTAGGACCCCCCTATCTCTCCCTAAGACCCCCCTATCTCCCTCCAGGACCCCCCAGAACCCTCCAATCTCTCCCTAGGCCCCACCTATCTCCCTCCAGGACCCCCCAGGACCCTCCAATCTCTCCCTAGGACCCCCCTATCTCCCTCCAGGACCCCACTGCACCCCTAAGAACCCCCCTATCTCCCTCCAGGACCCCCCAGAACCCCACTATCTCTCCCTAGGACCCCCCTATCTCTCCCTAGGACCCCCTCATCTCCCTCCAGGACCCTCCAGAACCCTCCTATTTCTCCCTAGGACCCCCCTATCTCCCTCCCGGATCCCCCAGGAACCCCCTATCTCCCTCCAGGGCTCCCTCCAGGACCCCCCTATCTCCCTCCAGGACCCCCCAGAACCCCCCTATCTCTCCCTAGGACCCCCCTATCTCCCTCCAGGACCACACTGCACCCCTAAGAACCCCCTTATCTCCCTCCAGGACCCCCCCAGGACCCTCCAATCTCTCCTTAGGACCCCCCTATCTCTCCCTAGGACGCCCCCATCTCCCTCCAGGACCCTCCAGAACCCTCCTATCTCTCCCTAGGACCCCCCTATCTCCCTCCAGGATCCCCCAGGACCCCCCTATCTCCCTCCAGGGCTCCCTAGGACCCCCCTATGTCTCCCTAGGCCCCCCCTATCTCCCTCCAGGACCCCTCAGAACCCTCCAATCTCTCCCTAGGACTCCCCTATCTCCTTCCAGGACCCCACTGCACCCCTAAGAACCCCCCTATCTCCCTCCAGGACCCTCCAGAACCCCCCTATCTCTCCCTAGGCCCCCCCTATCTCTCCCTAGGACCCCCCAATCTCTCCCTAGGCCCCCCCTATCTCCCTCCAGGACCCCACTGCTCCCCCCCAGCTCCCTCCAGGCCCCTCAGCTCCATCCCTGTCCCCCCCCCATCCCCATCCCTACCTCCACCGAGGTGACCCCTGGCTCCAGCCCCACCACGACGGGTCCCGGCTCCAGCGCGGCCACTCGGGGGTCCTGGACGCGGGTGCGTGCGGCCACCAAGGGGGTGACATCGAGGAGCCAGGCGGGGCCGGGCAGGAAGGCGAGGGGCCGGCCCCCGGCCAGCGGCCGCGCCGCGAAGCGAGCCAGGACCCGCAGCGCCGTGCGCTGGAACTGAGGGCGGCAGCCGCGGCCCCGGCCGACCCCATCCCGGGCACCGGCACCGGCACCGGGCCCGGGCCAGGCCTCCTCCGGAGCGCTGCGGGGGCACCGGGAGGTGGGAACGGGGCGGGGGGATTGGGGGGTACCAGGGAGTGGGGATGGGGATGGGACATGGGGATGGGGATGGGATTGGGGGGTACCAGGGAGTGGGGATGGGGATGGGACACGGGGATGGGGATGGGATTGGGGGGTACCAGGGAGTGGGGATGGGGATGGGACACGGGGATGGGGATGGGATTGGGGGGTACCAGGGAGTGGGGATGGGGATGGGACACGGGGATGGGGATGGGATTGGGGGGTACCAGGGAGTGGGGATGGGGATGGGGATGGGACACCGGGACACGGGGATGGGGATGGGATTGGGTGGTACCAGGGAGTGGGGATGGGGATGGGACATGGGGACACCGGGACACGGGGATGGGGATGGGATTGGGTGGTACCAGGGAGTGGGGATGGGGATGGGACATGGGGACACCGGGACACGGGGATGGGGATGGGATTGGGTGGTACCAGGGAGTGGGGATGGGGATGGGACATGGGGATGGGGATGGGGATAAGGATGGGGATGGGACATGGGGGTGGGGATGGGGATGGGACATGGGGATGGGGATGGGATTGGGTGGTACCAGGGAGTGGGGATGGGGATGGGATGGGACACGGGGATGGGGATGGGTGGTACCAGGGAGTGGAGATGGGGATGGGACATGGGGACACGGGGATGGGGATGGGATTGGGTGGTACCAGGGAGTGGGGATGGGGATGGGGATGGGACATGGGGATGGGGATGGGGATAAGGATGGGGATGGGACATGGGGGTGGGGATGGGGATGGGACATGGGGATGGGGATGGGGATATGGGGACACCGGGACACGGGGACGGGGATAGGATTGGGTGGTACCAGGGAGTGGGGATGGGGATGGGACATGGGGATGGGACATGGGGACACCAGGACACAGGGATGGGGATGGGTGGTACCAGAGCATGGGGATGAGTCACGGGGATGGGGATGGGACATGGGGATGGGGATATGGGGGCACTGGGACACGGGGATGGGGATGGGGATAGTGATGGGACATGGGGACACCGGGACACGGGGGAAGGGGGGGGGGGGGGGGGGATTGGGTGGTACCAGGGCGTGGGGATGGGACACGGGGATGGGGATGGGACATGGGGATGGGGATGGGGATATGGGGGCACCGGGACAGGGGGATGGGGATGGGGATGGGACATGAGGGTGGGGATGGGGATATGGGGACACCGGGACACGGGGATGGGGATGGGACATGGGGATGGGGAGGGCGATGGGGATAGGGAGGGGACATGGGGACACTGGGACATAGGGATGGGGATGGGACATGGGGGCACCAGGACATGGGGATGGGATATGGGGGCACAGGGATACGGGGGTGGGGATGGGATTGGGTGGTAGCAGGGTATGGGGATGAGTTATGGGGATGGGACATGGGGATGGGACACAGGGATGGAGATGGGGATAGGGATGGGACGAAGGGACACTGGGACACGGGAATGGGGATGGGACATTGGGACACGGGGATGGGATTGGGTGATATCAGGGAACATGGGGATGGGGATGGGACATTGGGACATGGGGATGGGACACAGGGATGGAGATGGGGATAGGGATGGGACGAAGGGACACTGGGACACGGGAATGGGGATGGGACACTGGGACACGGGGATAGGGATGGGATTGGGTGGTACCAGGTTATGGGGATGAGTTATGGGCATGGGGATGGGGACAGGACATGGGGATGGGGATGGGGATGGGGATAGGGATGGGGATGGGGATGGGACACGGGGATGGGGATATGGGGACACCGGGACACGGGGATGGGGATGGGACATGGGGATGGGGAGGGCGATGGGGATAGGGATGGGACATGGGGACACTGGGACATAGGGATGGGGATGGGACATGGGGGCACCAGGACATGGGGATGGGATATGGGGGCACAGGGATACGGGGGTGGGGATGGGATTGGGTGGTAGCAGGGTATGGGGATGAGTTATGGGGATGGGACATGGGGATGGGACACAGGGATGGGGATAGGGATGGGACGCAGGGACACTGGGACACGGGAATGGGGATGGGACATGGGGGCACCAGGACACTGGGACACGGGGATGGGGATGGGATTGGGTGGTACCAGGATATGGGGATGAGTTATGGGCATGGGGATGGGGACGGGACATGGGGATGGGGAGGGGATGGGGATAGGGATGGGGATGGGGATAGGGATGGGGATGGGGATGGGGACGGGATGCAGGAACACTGGGACACGGGTATGGGGATGGGACATGGGGGCACCAGGACACGGGGATGGGGATGGGACATTGGGGCACCAGGACACTGGGACACGGGGATGGGGATGGGATTGGGTGGTACCAGGATATGGGGATGAGTTATGGGCATGGGGATGGGGACGGGACATGGGGATGGGGATTGGGATAGGGATGGGGATGGGGATGGGATGCAGGAACACTGGGACACGGGGATGGGGATGGGACATGGGGGCACCAGGACACTGGGACACGGGGATGGGGATGGGATTGGGTGGTACCAGGATATGGGGATGAGTTATGGGCATGGGGATGGGGACGGGACATGGGGATGGGGAGGGGATGGGGATAGGGATGGGGATGGGGATAGGGATGGGACGCAGGGACACTGGGACATGGGGATGGGGATGGGACATGGGGGCACCAGGACACTGGGACACGGGGATGGGGATGGGATTGGGTGGTACCAGGATATGGGGATGAGTTATGGGCATGGGGATGGGGACAGGACATGGGGATGGGGATGGGGATTGGGATAGGGATGGGGATGGGGATGGGATGCAGGAACACTGGGACACGGGTATGGGGATGGGACATGGGGGCACCAGGACACGGGGATGGGGATGGGATTGGGTGGTACCAGGGCATGGGGATGGGACATGGCAGATACGGGGACATGGAGATGGGACACAGGGACAGGGGTGGGGATGGGGGGTACTGGGATATGGGGATGGGACATGGGGGGAGCAGGGGATGGGGATGGGGGGACACAGGTGGTACCGGCACGTGGGGATGGGAAGGGGCGGCCATGGGGGATGTGTAGTGAGTGCGTGAGGGCTCAGTGGGGCAGGGGTGCCCAGCCCCATGGGGTTTAATGGGGCAGGGACACGTGTCATGAGTGTGGTTAGGGCTCAGGAGGGCAGGGCTGCACAGGGCTATGGGGGCTCAGTGGGGCAGACACGGGTCACAAGCACACAGGGCTCAGCAGAGCGGCCCTCATGCTCTGACCCCACCGCTCTCAGTGGGGCAGCCCCTCACACACTCACCCCACCGCTCTCAGTGGGGCAGCCCCTCACGCACTGACCCCACCGCTCTCAGTGGGGCAGCCCCTCACGCACTCACCCCACCGCTCTCAGTGGGGCAGCCCCTCATGCACTGACCCCACCGCTCTCAGTGGGGCAGCCCCTCACGCACTCACCCCACCGCTCTCAGTGGGGCAGCCCCTCACGCTCTGACCCCACCGCTCTCAGTGGGGCAGCCCCTCACGCACTCACCCCACCGCTCTCAGTGGGGCAGCCCCTCACGCTCTGACCCCACCGCTCTCAGTGGGGCAGCCCCTCACGCTCTGACCCCACCGCTCTCAGTGGGGCAGCCCCTCACGCACTCACCCCACCGCTCTCAGTGGGGCAGCCCCTCACTCTCTGACCCCCCCGGGGGCTCCGCACCCCCCATCCCCATCCCCATCGCTCACCTCTCGGTGCCGGGGGGCAGGCGCCAGCCCCGCAGCTGCTCCAGGGCCGTGTCCCCCAGGTGCAGGCGCAGCGGCAGCAGTGGGGCCCACACGGTGAAGCTCAGCGCCGCGTGCAGGCGCCGGCACCAGAAATCCACCCGCGCCCCCTGCGCCCCACGGCTCTCCTGGCCCCCCACGAACACCGCAGAGCAGCCGGCGGAGACCTGGGCCGTGGAGGGGAGATAGGGGGGGATAGGGGGGATAGGGGGTATGGGGGGTATGGGGGGTATAGGGGGATAGGGGTATAGGGGATATAGGGGGTTTAGGGGAGGATAGGGGAGGATAGGGGGTTATAGGGGGTATAGCGGGGATAGGGGGTTATAGGGGGGATGGGGGGGTAGGGGGTATAGGGGGGATACGGGGTTATAGGGGGTATAGGGGGTATAGGGGGATGGGGGGGATAGGGGGTATAGGGGGGATAGGGGATTATAGGGGGGTATAGGGTGATAGGGGGGATAGGGGGTATAGGGGTGATAGGGGGTTATAGGGGGGTATGGGGTGATAGGGGGGATAGGGGGATGGGGGGATAGGGGTTATAGGGGAGATAGGGGGTTATAGGGGGGTATAGGGTGATAGGGGGGATGGGGGGGATAGGGGGTATAGGGGAGATAGGGGGTTATAGGGGGTTATGGGGGGTATACAGGGTATAGAGGGGATGGGTGGATAGGGGGTATAGGGGGGATGGGTTATAGGGAGTATGGGGGGTGTGGGGGATATAGGGGTATAGGGGGGATAGGGGGTTATAGGTGGTATAGGTGGTATGGGGGTATAGGGGGTATAGGGGGCATGGGGGGTATAGGAGGTATAGGGGTTATAGGGTGTATAGGGGGTTATACGGGGTATATGGGGCATAGGGGTATAAGGGGTATAGGGCGGTATAGGGGGTATAAGGGGGTATAGGTGTGTATAGGGGGTGTAGGGGGTATAGGGGGTATAGGAGGTATAGGGGTATAGGGGGATATAGGAGGTATAGAGGGTATAGGGGCGTATAGGGGGTATAGGGAGTATTGGGGGGTATAGGGGCTTTAGGCAGTGTAGGAGGTACAGGGGGGTATAGGGGGATATAGGGGTGTATAGGGAGGTATAGATGGTATAGGGAGTATAGGGGGTATAGGGGGTTTAGGCAGTGTAGGAGGTATAGGGGGATATAGGGGGATATAGGGGGATATAGGGGGATATAGGTGGCTACTGTGGGGATCTGGGGATCCTGCTCACCTGCAGGACCTGCTTGTCAGCTGACTCACAGCCGGGGGCTCCGGGAGCTCGGTGATGCCCCCCCCTGCCTCCACTGCCACCAGTCTGACGGGCACGAAGCGGGGGACCCCCGTCAGTGGGGCCGTGTTGAGGATCTCCAGCTCCTGGGGGGCAGAGAGGGGCTGAGCACACGGATCCATGGGGGAGATGGGGACGGGGTGGTCGGGTTGGGATGGTGGGGATGGGGTGGTGGGGATGGGGATGGGATGGTGGGGATGGGGTGGTGGGGATGGGGTTGGGATGATGGGGATGGGCATGGGGTGGTGGGGATGGGGATGGGGTGGTGGGGATGGGGATGGGATGATGGGGATGGGGTGGTGGGGATGGGGATGGTGGGGATGGGCATGGGGTGGTGGGGATGGGGATGGGATGATGGGGATGGGGTGGTGGGAATGGGATGATGGGGATGGGGTGGTGAGGATGGGGATGGGGTGGTGGGGATGGGGTGGTGGGGATGGGGATGGGATGGTGGGGATGGGGTGGTGGGGATGGGGATGGGATGGTGGGGATGGGGTGGTGGGGATGGGGATGGGATGGTGGGGATGGGGATGGGGTGGTGGGGATGGGGATGGGATGGTGGGGATGGGGATGGGGTGGTGGGGATGGGGATGGGGTGGTGGGGATGGGGATGGGGTGGCGGGGATGGGGATGGGATGGTGGGGATGGGGTGGTGGGGATGGGGTGGTGGGGATGGGATGGTTGGGATGGGGATGGGGTGGTGGGGATGGGGATGGGGTGGCGGGGATGGGGATGGGGTGGTGGGGATGGGAAGTGCTGGGGGGTACCCACCTGTACAAGGGGGACGAGGGCACGGACATCCCGCTCGGACACTTGGATCTCCCACACCAGTTTGTCCTTCTGCGCCTCGGGGTCCTGCCCTGGGTACTCCACTTGCCACGTGAGGGTCCGCACCGGCGCCAGTCCCCCCGTCCCGTTCTCCACCGCCACATCCAGGTGCAGGAACGCCTCGGAATCAGCCACCCTGTGCCGCCATATGGGGGTCAAGCTGCCCTTACCCCCCCCCCCCAGGGCAATGCCCACACTGGGATGCACGAGCCCCATGGCGAGCATCCCCTACCTGGAGCCACCAGCAGCATCCCCGCTCCTCCGGCACGTCACCACCACCGTGGAGTGCTTGGGACCACGGGTGCGCTCCACTTGCGTCGCCCATGCCCCCGGCGCCCCGGCGCGGGCACCCACCACTTGCAGCCCCTTCTTGGCCTTGATCCTGCCGGAGCATCCCCATCACACCGCGTGCCCATCCCTCTTTGTGCCCCGCACCGGGGGTATCCCCGCATCCTCTCACCGGAGCACCAAGTGGTCGGCGGTGAAGTTGTGCCGCAGGGCGATGGTGGCCGTGAAGCGGTGCCCCGGCCGCAGGCTGGCATCGGGGACCCGCAGCAGGACCTTGGCATCCAACCTCACCTCCTGCCAGCGCACCGGCTCCGCCGCCCGCAGCTCCAGCGAGCCCAGGGGCCGCTGGGCATCCCCGGCACGGCTCCGCTCCCGGCATTCCCGGGATCCCGTCACGCTGTAGTGCAGCTGCGCCGGCTCCGGGGGCTCGGCGGAGAACCAGCGCGGGGGGATCTCCAGCTCCACCACGCAGGCGCCCAGCGGGGCCTGGGTGGGGAGAGAGGGGTCCTGGTGTATCCCGGTTCATCCCGGTTCATCCCGGTTCATCCCGGTCGGGGGATTGAGGGCAGCGAGCCCATGGTGGCACTGACCTGCAGGTGGCACGAGGCACGGGCCACCCGGCCGCGGTGGTGCGCGTGGAGGGTGACGCAGGGCAGGTCTCGGTCCTTGGGGTGATCCCGTTCCATGGGGTGATCCCGCTTTGGGGGGTGATCCCACTCTCCAGCATGGTCCCGCTGCTTGGGGTGATCCCAGGTCCTGGGCTCATTCTGCTCCTTGGGGTGATCCCACTCTCCAGGGTGATCCTGCTCCTTGGGTTGATCCCACTCTTTAGCTTGATCCCAATCCTTGGGGTGATCCCAGCTCCTGGGGTGGTTTTGCCCCTTGGGGTGATCCCAGTTCCTGGGGTGGTTCTGCTCCTTAGGGTGATCCCTCTCTTTAGGTTGATCCCACTCCTTGGGGTGATCCCAACTCCTGGGGTGGTTCTGCTCCTTGGGGTGATCCCTCTCTTTAGGTTGATCCCACTCCTTGGGGTGATCCCAGCTCCTGGGGTGGTTCTGCTCCTTGGGGTGATCCCTCTCTTTAGGTTGATCCCACTCCTTGGGATGATCCCAACTCCTGGGGTGGTTCTGCTCCTTGGGGTGATCCCTCTCTTTAGGTTGATCCCACTCCTTGGGATGATCCCAACTCCTGGGGTTGTTCTGCTCCTTGGGGTGATCCCACTCTCCAGGAGGATCCCACGTTGCGGGGTGATCCCGCTCCCCGGGCTGATCCCATCCCTCGTGCTGATCCCGTTTCCCAGCCATCCAGTCAGGCCCATAGAGATGGAAGAGCACCCGGGCAAAGGGCTCCGCCGGCGACACGGAGCTCTCGATGGACACAGCCCGCACAGCCCAAGCTTCCCTCTGCTCCTTCTCCATGGGCACCTCCTGCAGCGGGACAGGGATGATGGGAGCAGGATGCTGAGCATCCCCCCCCTTCTCTCCCCATAAAGGGTGCATGGTGGTGGGGTGGGATGGGGGGGGGGGGGGTATTTAGGGTGCACTTTACCTGCCGGGTGCTGAAGGGGGGATAAGTGGCCTGGAGCAAAGGTTGGGTACCGGGGCTGTGCCGCAGCACCAGGAAGGTCTCGGTGCGGGTATCCATGGAGGTGTTGGTTGGGATGTCCCGGTCTGCCCGTTGCAAGCGGTAGTATTCCGGTACCCCCAGGAGCTCCAGCTCTGCCGGTAGGAACACGGGCTCCGGGGGGTCCCCGTCCCCCTTTGCTATAGGGACAAGGGGTTGGGATGCTGTGGGCGATGGCACCTCGGTCCACCCCACAGCATCACCCCAACTTTGGGTGATGCTTCATGACAACGGGGGTGAGGGAGCAGGGATGCTGGGGGCATCATCCCGGTGGGATGCACGGGCAGGGCTGAGCGATGAAATGGGAAAGGAAGGGGGCGATTCCCGATGGAATTTCACAGCGGATCCCGCGTTCCACACGGGGATCCCCTCAGGATCGCGGGGGGGGGGGATCCCCCCCCCCCCCGCGATCCTGAGGGGATCCCGCCGTGTGGAAACGAATCCCGATTGCGGGAATGGTTGCGGAAAAGGGGGGGGGGGGGGGGAAGGATCCACCCCCTATCGCGATCACGATCGCGATCCGGTCGCACTCACCCCAGGAGCAGAGCAGGGCCGCGGTCAGCAGCGCCAGCCTCGGGCCCGGGGCCGGTAGCGGGGCCATGGCCGGGCTCGTTCTCCGCTCCCGTCCCTCCGCCTCCCGCACAGACAATGGGGCCGGGGCGGGACCCACACCGGCACCGCCTCGTCCCGCCGGGTCCTAAACACCGCCTCTTGCCCGCCCTGGCCAGAGCCGACCACCGCGGGCCGGGCCCGGAGCATCCCCATTCCCATCCCGCTCCCCAGCCCCGTTTCCCTCCCTATCCCCACTCCCACCCCATCCTCCTCCCCACTCCCATCCCCATTTCCATTCCCATCCCCGTCCCTTTCCCATCCCACTCCTCAACCCCCTTTCCATCCCTATCCCCATTCCCATCCCATTCCCCATCCCCATTCTCATCCCAGTCCCATCCCCGTTTCCCTCCCTATCCCCACTCCCACCCCATCCTCCTCCCCATTCCCATCCCCATTTCCATTCCCATCCCCGTCCCTTTCCCATCCCACTCCCCAACCCCCTTTCCATCCCTATCCCCATTCCCATCCCATTCCCCATCCCCATTCTCATCCCAGTCCCATCCCCATTTCCCTCCCTATCCCCACTCCCACCCCATCCTCCTCCCCATTCCCATCCCCATTTCCATTCCCATCCCTGTCCCTTTCCCATCGCACCCCCCAACCCCCTTTCCATCCCTATCCCCATTCCTATCCTGTTTGCCATCCCCATTCTCATCCTAATCCCATCCCCATTCACATCCCCACCCCATCCTGTTCCTCATTACACTCCTCATTCCCATTCCCATCCAGCTCCCCAATCCCATCTCCATTCCCAACTCTATCTTATTCTCATCCCATTTTCATTCCACTCCCCATCCCCATTTCCACCCCTATCTTCCATTCTCATCCCCGTCCCATTCCCATCCCACTCCCCATCCCCATTCCCATCCCCATCACCTGTTCTGCATTACACTGCTCATTCCCATTCCTATCCTGCTGCCCAATCCCATCTCCATTCCCAATGCTATTTTATTCTCACCCCCTTCCCATTCCCATCCCACTCCCCATCCGCATTCCCATCCCTGTCCCATTCCCATCCCACTCCCCATTCCCATTTCCATCCCTATCCCCATTCCCATCCCCGTCACCACCCCATCCTGTTCCACATTACACTGACCATTCCCATCCCCATCCAGCTCCCCAATCCCATCTCCATTCCCAACTCTATCCTATTCTCTTCCCATTCCCATCCCACTCCCCATCCCATTCCCATCCCTATCCCCATTCCCATCCTGTTCCCCATCCCCATTCTCATCCCAATCCCATCCCCACCCCATCCTGTTCCTCATTACACTCCTCATTCCCATCCCCATCCAGCTCCCCAATCCCATCTCCATTCCCAACTCCATCCCATCCCCATCCCCACTCCAGGACATGGGGTACCACAAGCCCTAGTGCAGGGTGGGGGGGCTCTCAGTGTCCCTCCTTCCCTATCCCACCCCGGGTAACTGGGGGCCACCGGGGACCACTGGGGTCAGACATGGCCGGGGGGGGCAGCAGCCACGGGGATGGAGCCGGGGACCCCCTTGTCCCCCTCAGCACCATCAGCAGAGGGAGAAGGATGAGTGCAAACCCCCCCCCCCCCACCAGACTGGGACTGGGGGGGGTCCAAGCATCCCCAAGGGACCCCCCCCCCCGTATCCCAATGGGGATCCAGAGGAGCCAGACTGGGATGAACCCGGCTTTATTCAGACCCATGTACAAAACCAGCTGAAAAAGCAGCTTCAAACCAGAGCGCTGACAGCGGGGGGGGCTGCACCCCCCCCCCATAGGGTGAACCCCCATTTCGGCCTGAGGTCGGGAGCAAGGGGGTCCCCCCACCCTGGGCAAGGCACTTTTGGCTTGGGGGAAGGCACTGGGAGCACGTCCCCAGCTTTTGGGGTGCTGCAATGAGGGGGGACACACACACACCCCCCCTCCCTGTATGTAATGGGGAGTCCCAGAGGGATGCGTGTTTGGGGGTCCAGAGCCAAAGCTATGGGGTGCAATGGGGTAGCTTGCGAGGAGTGTGCTTGGGGGTGTCCCTCCTCCCAGTTATGGGGTCCCTGCCATTTCTGCCATCAATGGGAGCACCCCCCCAGCTGCAATGGGGTGACCCTGTGTGTGGGACATGGGGGCGCAGGGAGATGGATGCTTGGGGGTCCATGGGGCGCAATGGGGCAGCTCAGGGGGTGCACCCTTGGGGTCCCTCCCTCCTCCCTGGTCCCCCAACATCTGCCATCAACGGGAGCATCCCCCCCAGCTTTAGGGTGCTGCAATGGGGCACCCCATCTGCGGGACAAGGGGGCACAGGGAGGGGGATACTGGGGTTCCATGGGGCGCACCCCGGGGTCCCCCCACTTCTGCCGTCAATGGGGGCATCCCCCAGCTTTGGGGTGCTGCAATGGGGGAACCCCATCTGCCAGACAAGGGGGCACAGGGAAGGGGATGCTGGGGCTCTATGGGGCACACCCTGGGGTCCCCCCACTTCTGCCATCAATGGGGGCATCCCCCAGCTTTGGGGTTCCTGCAATGGGGGAACCCCATCTTTGGGACACGGGGCCGCAGGGAAGGGGGATGTTGGGGGGGCTCCATGGGGCGCACCCCGGGGTCCCCCCACTTCTGCCGTCAATGAGAGCATCCCATCTGCCAGACAAGGGGGGCGCAGGGAAGGGGGTGCTGGGGCTCCATGGGGCACACCCCGGGGTCCCCCCACTTCTGCAGTCAATGGGAGCATCCCCCAGCTTTGGGGTTCCTGCAATGGGGGGACCCCATCTGCCGGACAAGGGGGGCGCAAGGAAGGGGATGCTGGGGCTCTATGGGGCGCACCGCGGGGTCCTCCCACTTCTGCCGTCAATGGGAGCATCCCCCAGCTTTGGGGTTCCTGCAATGGGGGAACCCCATCTTTGGGACACGGGGCCGCAGGGAAGGGGGATGTTGGGGGGGCTCCATGGGGCGCACCCCGGGCTCCCTCACTCCTCCCTGTTGCGGGGTCCCCCCCACCTCTGCCTCCTCTGCAGCTCCTCCACCTTCCACTCCAGGCTCCGCAGCGCAGCCTCCAGGCGCGGCTCGGGCTCGGGGGGGGCCCCGACGGCCTCGAGGGCGCAGCGCAAGCCCCAGAGCGCCAGGAGCTGCCCCGCCTGCGCCGTGGGGCTCTGCGCGGACCCCGCCACCCACACGAAGGCGCCCAGGAAGCAGCAGCGCAGCGAGAACCGCACCAGCGGCAGCGCCCGCGCCCGCAACCGGGAACCGAGCCCCGACAGCGCCAGCGCCGCCAGCGCCCACAGCAGCGCCCGCTGAACCGCGGCCGGGCCCGGGACCGCCGCCCGCAGCGAGGGGGAGCCTGCAAGGGAGGACGGGGAGCGGCTGGAACCGGGGGCACGCGAGAGGGGGGACGGGGGAGTTGGGAAGGACGGGGGGCACCCGTGTGCGGTGCTGGTGGTACCGGTGTCACTGGTGTCAATGGTGTGTGCGGTGCTGGTGGTACCGGTGTGTGCGGTGCTGGTGGTACCGGTGTCACTGGTGTCACTGGTGTGTGCGGTGCTGGTGGTACCGGTGTGTGCGGTGCTGGTGGTACCGGTGTCACTGGTGTCAATGGTGTGTGCGGTGCTGGTGGTACCGGTGTGTGCGGTGCTGGTGGTACCGGTGTCACTGGTGTCACTGGTGTGTGCGGTGCTGGTGGTACCGGTGTCACTGGTGTCAATGGTGTGTGCGGTGCTGGTGGTACCGGTGTCACTGGTGTCAATGGTGTGTGCGGTGCTGGTGGTACCGGTGTGTGCAGTACTGGTGGTACCGGTGTCAATGGTGTCAATAGTGTGTGCGGTGCTGGTGGTACCGGTGTCAATGGTGTCAATAGTGTGCGCGGAACTGGTGGTACCGGTGTGTGCAGTGCTGGTGGCACCGGTGTCACTGGTGTCAATGGTGTGTGCGGTGCTGGTGGCACCGGTGTCACTGGTGTCAATGGTGTGTGCGGTGCTGGTGGTACCGGTGTCACTGGTGTCAATGGTGTGTGCGGTGCTGGTGGCACCGGTGTCACTGGTGTCAATGGTGTGTGCGGTGCTGGTGGCACCGGTGTCACTGGTGTCAATGGTGTGTGCGGTGCTGGTGGTACCGGTGTCACTGGTGTCAATGGTGTGTGCGGTGCTGGTGGTACCGGTGTCACTGGTGTCAATGGTGTGTGCGGTGCTGGTGGTACCGGTGTGTGCGGTGCTGGTGGCACCGGTGTCACTGGTGTCAATGGTGTGTGCGGTGCTGGTGGTACCGGTGTCACTGGTGTCAATGGTGTGTGCGGTGCTGGTGGTACCGGTGTCACTGGTGTCAATGGTGTGTGCGGTGCTGGTGGCACCGGTGTCACTGGTGTCAATGGTGTGTGCCGTGCTGGTGGCACCGGTGTCACTGGTGTCAATGGTGTGTGCGGTGCTGGTGGTACCGGTGTCACTGGTGTCAATGGTGTGTGCGGTGCTGGTGGTACCGGTGTCACTGGTGTCAATGGTGTGTGCGGTGCTGGTGGTACCGGTGTCAATGGTGTCACTGGTGTGTGCGGTGCTGGTGGTACCGGTGTCACTGGTGTCAATGGTGTGTGCGGTGCTGGTGGTACCGGTGTCACTGGTGTCAATGGTGTGTGCGGTGCTGGTGGTACCGGTGTGTGCAGTACTGGTGGTACCGGTGTCAATGGTGTCAATAGTGTGTGCGGTGCTGGTGGTACCGGTGTCAATGGTGTCAATAGTGTGCGCGGAACTGGTGGTACCGGTGTGTGCAGTGCTGGTGGCACCGGTGTCACTGGTGTCAATGGTGTGTGCGGTGCTGGTGGCACCGGTGTCACTGGTGTCAATGGTGTGTGCGGTGCTGGTGGTACCGGTGTCACTGGTGTCAATGGTGTGTGCGGTGCTGGTGGCACCGGTGTCACTGGTGTCAATGGTGTGTGCGGTGCTGGTGGCACCGGTGTCACTGGTGTCAATGGTGTGTGCGGTGCTGGTGGTACCGGTGTCACTGGTGTCAATGGTGTGTGCGGTGCTGGTGGTACCGGTGTCACTGGTGTCAATGGTGTGTGCGGTGCTGGTGGTACCGGTGTTACTGGTGTCAATGGTGTGTGCGGTGCTGGTGGTACCGGTG